GCCCCAATCTGCGATGCCAAACTTCTGCAGATTCAACAACAGCAGCCGTCAAACACGTAGGTGTGTCCAACTTGTAAACACCATTAGTCAGCGAAGCAGTAGCCACCAAAATCCCTTGACGATTCATAATTTCACATCCATTGCTTGTGAAATGTACTTGATTGCCTTGTTTTATCAGTTGACTGACTGACAATAGATTGGTCGATAAGTTCGGGACGCATAGAACCTTTTCAACAGTTACGTCAAATTCGCAATCTCCAGCCGATGTTGTGATTCTCACATTTCCACAACACAACACGGGAATTATTTTCTGATCAGCAACCATGATGTCTTTTGAAAATCCNTGCCGCGCTGCCGATTTCATAGTTTTGCAGTTTGCGGTTGCAGTTTGCGGTCTGCGGCCCGTCTTGGAATTGTACCTTAAATCTTAATATTTGTTACCAACTTGTCTGGCATTCGCTGGCACCATCTAATATGCCAGCCTATTTTACCTTTATCGTACATAGGTGTCGTCTTAGTTGGTACATAAAGTAGCTATGTGGGTCACGCTCACGCAGCATCTTGATATTTGTATTATACCTACATTTTTGAAATTCTAATAATTCCGTAACCGAAATTATCCGAGACTTTCGGATAATCTGAAATGATTTCATATCCGTGACCGTAACCGAAACCGGTATAATATTATTCTAATATCCGTAACCGTATCCATAACCGAAATTTCATATCCTTATTATCCCTGTTACCAAGTACAAGTGCAGGCAGAGCACAGTTGTCACAGTATGTCAACTACTAATTACTGTCATGGTGACAAAAGTTTCTGTGACTGACTGTACGGTAGTCAGTCAAAGAAACTTGAATTTTGGGCACATTAGAATAATATTTTTTAACCAAGGTAAATAAAGTTAAAAACGGATGAAATCGGCANAAAAAATATGTATGACATCACCCATAAATAAATCATTCGGTTTCTTGTGGGTTCATCAATATTTAACCTTTAACCGACGACGTGATTTTTTTGTCACGCCGTCTGCGACGTGCGGTCTGTGGGACCGCTATACCGTTTACTCAAAAAGTAATCATTTTTTGTAAAAAAGTATACTGATTTTATATTTTTTGAGAACATTATAGTATTACAAATAAACATACGTATAATTTGTGAATAATCATTGTATAGTATTTATTTAAATGTGGCTAAAACTTTTTTGACCCTAAATTTCATTGAAATTACACTAGAGCTCAATAATACCTATATAACTTGTAAATTTTAATCAAAGGAAGAAAAACTATACTCCTTCCTAAATATAGTGAACATAATTAATAAAATAAAAATAAATGACACGTACATTACATGCACAAAAAAATTTTTGACGAAGGGTAAACATTAGGCAAAATCAGGACATTTTTTTTATCGCATGTCAAGCATTTTCGGTATGCATAGGTAACACCTATAGATAATTTCGTTTTCAATTTAGGTAGACTAAAATGTAGAGTCTTTTTTGCAGCTGGTGCAATGAAATTAGGCTGATTTGGCATATCATAGCCTAGAATACATGTCACTGTTTGCTTTACCACCCGTTTCGCGGTATTTTTTTACAGACTACCATCTTTTACAAAATGGTATGTCCTATTATCAATATATCATTAGGAAATGTCTTTTCCTAGGTTGTGTTGGCCCAGGATCTATCATTTTTACGAAAAATTAGTCGTCTAAAACAAAAACGCAAGTTTTAGTATGGTACAAAAATGTCACGTAGTCTGCGACGTGCGGTCCCACAGACCGCTGTTGAACTTTAAATCGAATTATCTTATTAAAACTGCCCTCATCAATGTAACCACTACCTGTAATGGCGTTTGGGCAACTAAACTCGAAGGTACTGAGACGCTCGGGACACGGGAGTAAGTAGAACATTGCAATCCAGAAATTTCAAAAACCGGAGCGGTCTGTGAGACCGCACGTCGTCGGTTAAAGGTTAAAGAAGTTGTACTTATTTACTCTCTAACAAAAATGCCTAGTCTGATGCGTAAAAGTTCAGGATAAGGAAAATTCAAAAGTAAAATCCTTATAAAATTTTATTTAAATATTTGAGTACCATACTTTTAAGCTTAAAGTTATACATAATTTGTCAACTGCGATCTAGTTCTTCAGCGCTTACGACAATTAATTTTGAAGATACAATACAAACTATCCGATAGCAACACAATACAAGAGATAATAGTAATCTACGAATGTCCAAAAGTTCATATCCACCTAATTACACACACAAACCACACACTCGCGTACAATTTTGATTTTTAGCCGAATATTTGTGTCCATTTTACTTCTAATGAGATAAACTCATTAGAAGGTCATACATCATTTCTTTGCCAACTGATCACTTTGGGGTTGAGCGCCATAATACTGCCACAACTCTATTGCTTTATTTGCAATAACTTCTTCAAATTGTTCCGGAATCTAAAACAAGGTTATAAATTAATTATAAAACGACCATTATGTCTCAATTAATTTATATGGCAACATTTTTTTTAGTTTTCGTACAGATTTCGCAATGAACCGCAAGCATTTTAGCCATTCTCAGGAAATAATTTTTATTTACCTACAAAAACGTTTACGTACCTCGGAAACACATTTTAGGACTTCATCTGCACTTTTGGTCTTTAAAATGTTACGGCGCAACGTAATAACCAGCATAACGGCTGCAAATGCTAGAATTTTTGGAGCACCACTGCATATTTTGTCCCAAATCCTGCAAAAAGAGAAAAGTGGGCATCATAAAAATATTGCATTCAGTATTCTTATAAAGTAGGTACCTACATTTTTAATGCTACTTTACTTACTTGGTAAGAGAAGCATCTTCAAGGATTCCAGCAAAGCAGCAGTTGAACCACTTTGTTAGAGGTAGAGCTTCCAATGCATTCACCTCCAATAAATGGCTGTAAATTCAAAACTTTCATAAGTGATTCAATAAAGAGCATATTTTTTTAAATCCCTACTAATATTGCGAAAGCAACTGTCCGTCTGTCTGTGTCGCTTTCACGCCTAAAAACAAACCACTCAACCGATTTTGATGAAATTTGGTATAGATAGTTTGAGTTCTGGGTAAGGCTATAGGATAGTTTTTGTCCCAGTTTTTTAAAGAGGGAAGCACGCGATAAAGTTTTTCTGTGACAGACACAATTTCAATTTAGTGAACCTACTTCAAGCAACTTTTGTAACCTTTGTTCATGCACACAATAAAGACATTATTACATAGTTTACTCTCGTACTTATAAAGCTCCCCGTCTTCCTTTTCCAGCATAGTCTGGAAGGCCTCTTTCAGTTTGGGCAGGTCCTTCTGCATCTGCTTGACCACCTCCGTGAGGCTCTTGGCCAGCCAGTATATGTCCACTTCATCGTCGTATAGCTCCAGGAGGGTGGTCACTATTGGCATGAATGTGTCACCAGACTGAAAGAGAAATTAGTAATTACAAATATACCAGTCACACCATAAAAGTTCATTCATTTGTTTCAGACAAATGACGTCCACTGCTAGACAAAGACAAATTATGAAACCAAAACAAAGTAAAATTAAATAATCTATAAGGAATATTAGAAAAATAATACTTTTAAATCTACATCATTCATCTTCCTGCACATTTATGTACAATTTAATGCTGTTGAAACATTGTTAAACAAATAAAATAAAAATAAATCATCTATCTAGGCATGCAACTTTCTATTTAACATTAAGAGTTTGAATTTTGTTTAAATCACATTTCAGCAGGAATTTTTTGGAAAAAATATTAAATCTGATTAGAATTTGTTCTGATATTTGATACTTACAGAAAAGTTAGTCTCTCTAAAGATAGGAGGTTTGCGTTCTTCGTTTTCCAGCAGCCACATCTCCATCAAGATCTTGCTCCTCGGAGCCTTCATATCGCACAACTCTAGCATTTCAACGGCATACAGCAAGTCGTTGTACTGGTCCGTACGCTGCTCCATTACGAATTGGTGAGAGTCCGTGTACACAGGTAATATGTCTAGAAAATAGATATAACGTAATGCAAGGATAAATGTGTAAAGATTCAATGGTAGTTATGCATGTTTATCCACTTTAGTGCACCAAAATTGTAAATTATGTTGGGTAAAAAAAATCAATAATGTCAACAATTTAATCAAATATCAAACTGTATCATTAGTTAGGACGCTAGATTGGAAACATGACAGTAAAGCTCTGAAAAACAAACAAAGTTAAGGTATTCAGCAAAACATTTTTTTTCAATTGGAATCCTATTGGTTTCAGAAAACTTACCCAAAAGCACCTTCCACACAAGATTCCTGTATGCAGCAGGCACTGTGAACCTTAGACAGAACTGTTTCAGCTTCATTTTATCCCATGGTTTCTCCTTCAAGAGAATTTCAAGCGATTTCTTTTCTTCAACACCCCGGCATCCAACTTTTTCGTAGTAAGACGATCGAAAGTTCCGTTCGTCCGTCATTTTAGTGTCGCGAAAGTTGTTATTTTACCATTTAATATCTTCAGTGGAATGAAAATCGTAGGAGTATTTTTTTAAATCCCAATTTATACGAAAATCAATAAAAAAACACTTGTGTTTTGTTGATTGCTTTGCCGAATGCCGTCCTTTTCTTATTTTTTTGACATTGACAATTTGATTGACATGAATCACGTTTCTTTTTATGTTTTTGATGATGATCAAATAAATTAAATTATTTTAATGAATTAATGTAAAACTATGCGCTTTATTGTGGTTTAAAATGTAAGTATAGNAGGCTATAGGTAGGTATTATTAAAATGTAAGTGGGTACAAAAGCAGAATTTGTAGTACTCCTACGTACAACGGAATTTATGGCGCTATTTTTGAATTTTATTTTCAAACTTCGATCCAACTGTCTTATCGTTTCCATGGAAATGTTATTGTCGTGGAAACTTGGATGTTTTACGTCAGTAGAATAATAATATTTATTTTACGATCATTACCTNTCAGTAGAATAATAATATTTAGTTTACGATCATTACATAAAAGCAGTTTTAGCCATGGATATTCCTGACTCTTCGGGATCGGTGGATCCTGCGTATATTGAGAAAAAGCGTGAAGAACTTAAGATATTCTTTCAAGATGCAAAGTTTCCCCAGGATGTGATCGACAAAGTGATAGAAAATGAGTTGAAACCTCTCAAGGAGCATCAGAATCGTCCTTACATAGCTGCATCATGCCCAGGCGAAGTAAAATCCGAATACGAAGTTATGACCGGCCAGCCTTTTACCACCATTGAAGACTGCAATAAGCCTTTGACCGTTGAAGAAATAAAAGAGAAACTAAAAGGTAACCCTATTATAGCTGAGAAGGCTCGCCAGATTCAAATTGTAACTGGGTCAGACGAAACTAAAAATGTAACAGTACCCATAGACCAAATAAACATAGCATCTTATGCAGACATGAGAAGCGAAATAGACACAGCTGGTGGTGATACAGAGAAAGTTAACAAATTACATTACAAAAACATGCATGCTCTTATGAGTTCTGTGGCAGAGTATCAAACTAGGCCAGCTATAAACCTATTCGAGAAAGAAGAAGAAGAAAGCGACGATAACGAGAGTGATGAAAGAGACTTGGAGGCAATAGAAAAAGTAGTTAGTCAATATACTGACAAATCTTATGAAACTAGATTTCAAGAGACAAAGGATATGCTGTTAAAATTAGCTGATGCGTATGAAACTTCTGACAAATCATCCGATTCTAAAGCTACAGTCAAAGCTGAAATCCAGCCCGATCCTGTTTTAAAGGAATCGTCAGTACAGTTTATAAAAGGAGAAATAAGAAAGTCTTCGTTTGACGAAGTCAGGGATAACTATGCTATCAACGAATCTATGAACATTTCCTTGAAAGATAATCCAGTATCTCCTGATCTTAGTGGAAAAACTAAAAACGAACCAAAACCCATAAAGAAGAAGGAAGAAGAAGTTATCAACGTTGAAGAAGTGTTCCCTAAAAGTATGGAAGCCAAGCTGAAAGAGACTGAAAAGGCTTTACGTGATATTAACTCTGTGCTTGAAACACCTAACAACGATTCTACACAAACCAATCCTAACGAACAAGATAACGGAAAAGATGAATCAGCTCAAGAGCCAGCTGAAGTTCCAGCTCGTCAAAAGTTTGACGAAAGAATGGAACAAACTTTACAAAACGCTTTGGAAGATATATTCGAAGTCAGCCGCAATGAAAATGAAGACAACAAAGAAATGGAATTCAAAGAAATGAAAAACCTTGCACGTAACATTGTAGAAGGCGCCGAAAATTTAAGCACCTTGATACGAGAAGACATAACTAATAAATTAAATAGCATGAATGAGCTACTAAATGATGTGAATGAAGCGTTAGAAAATTCAAGGAAATCTAACATTGCTTATCAGAAGCTTAAAGAAGAAACAGATTGTAGGCGAAAAGAAAGAGCTATAGAAAATAGTTCCAAAAACGAAGAAACAGATATTAAAGAAGACAATGATAATGACGAAGGAAAGGAAAGCATAAGCAAAGTTACTGACAATGACATTGATGACATAAATTCAGCAATCAAAAAGTTGAACGCTGAAATCAAATGCCATGAGGCTAGGATTGATACATGCAAAGCCAATTATGAACTTAGAAACAAAGAATGCACAGTATTCATTAAAGAAGTTGATGACATATTGCAAAAATCGCATGGTATTTTACATCCTATGAAAGAGACAAACGAACAATTGAAAAGTGTTGCGGAAGATCTTAAAGAAATTGATTCGAAAGAAAATGTTGCGAAAGAGACAGTTGTAAAAGATCAAGAAAAGAAGGGAGATGGAAAAAAAGGACGCAAGGAATTATGGGATGTCGAATTTACCTATAATGACGAAAGGAATAAAAGACTTGCAGAGTTCAAGGTGCAAGAGTTAGAACGAAAGAAGCGAATCAATGATCTTCTTTACGATATAAAAGACAAAATGAAGGATAACAAAGATGTTTTAAGATTAGCAAATAACTTGCTTAGAAGAGAAGAGAGTAGGAAGAAGCCTCTTCTAGACTGTGATAAGAAAGTCACTGTTATTGAAGTGGACGACAAAGCTCAGGGCGATCATGCACGAAGTGATGAAGAGACCAAAGAACCTAGTGAAGTTACTCCATCAGATGGCGAGCAAAAAGGTATGTTGTTTAATAATAAAATATCAAAGTTTCCGTAATTTCAAACATTGACAAGCCAGGTAAGTAATTTAGTAGACCCATGGCTTACATAGTACATTAGGTTGATAAAGTTTGCAATGTACTTTAAAACATGAAAACTTTAAGGTAATTCAGTAACAGAATCGCCGTTAGAGAAGAAGAAGCGAGAAGAGCAGAAAGCAAAAGAAGAAGCTGAAGAGAAGGAGAGACAGAGACAGAAGGAGTACCAGCTGCAACTGGAGAAGGACTTGGAGGAGATGAACAAAGGCCCTCGGATGACGAAGGAGTTCATCAAGAACCACTGCCGGCAGCATAAGCTTTACTGCACGCCGTATCTGAATGATATACTGTACTTGCATTTTAAGGTACCTAGTATTTGATTATTGACTTGGGTAGTTACGACGACCTAAGTAGGTTCATGGTACGGATCCCTATTATTCATTCATTCAATTTCACTGTGTTTTCAACATCAACGTGGAAATCATTGGGGGAGGCCTATGTTCAGCAGTGCTCGTCCTATGGCTGAAATGATGATGATGTTGGTGTTTTCACGATACTAACTAAACGTAAGGATGAGTGACCCAAAGTGTAATTTTTCAGGGTTTCGCCAAAATCGAGAATCTGGAAGAATACACCGGTCTCAAATGCATTTTCCTGGAGAACAACGGCATACAGAGAATCGAGGGTTTGGACACATTGGCCCAGTTGAAATGCCTTTACTTGCATTACAATGTTGTCCGTAAGATCGAAAACCTCCACGGATGTCCACTGCTGGATACTTTGAATTTGGACCACAATTTTGTCACAAAGATTGAGAATTTGGAGGTCGTTCCGGCACTGCACACTCTGAGCATCGCTCATAACATGCTTACTACTATTGGTAGGTTTAAATCCAAATTAATGTCTTATTTCTCAAAAATAAAATAAAATGACTTCATCATTTGTATGTCTTGCGATTTGTTATTAGATAAGTTCTTCCTCATTCACCTAAAGAAAAACTTAAACATACCTTTCTTTCAGATGACTTAGCCCATTTGAAGTTGTGCAGAAATCTCTCCGTTCTCGACCTCTCGTACAACAGGCTGGAAGACCCTCTTATAGTAGATGTGTTGGCTGATATGGTGGTCTTGAAAGGTATCTTTGGATATTTCTAAATCCATATTAATTACCTACCTGTAGTTAAGAAGTTAAAACTTATCATCGATGTCGTTTTTAAACAGTACTGGTTCTTACTGGCAACCCGGTCATTCGCAACATCCCAGCGTACCGCAAAACTCTCACTCTACGTCTAAAGGTATAACTTGCAGTTTGTCAGTATTGACTGTAAATACTAGTTAGATTTTATGTAAAAACTTTTTGGTTGTTCTATAAAGGACCTGTTAAATCTGGACAACCGGCCAGTGTTTCCAAGAGACCGCGCCTGTGCTGAGGCTTGGCAGCGAGGCGGAGTGGAAGAGGAAATCGCTGAGAGACGAAGGTCTGTAACTTGAAGGAAGCTTGAAATAAGTTTTGTAGAATTTGGGAATATTCAATCCCAGTTTATAACTTACTTTTTGGAAACCTTCTACTCCAAGCTGTTTAATTCCAGATGGATCGCAAAAGACCAGGAAAAGGTTATGCAGAGTGTGCGGTACTTGATCAAAATGAGGGATGAGAATAAAGCCAAGAGAGAAGCTAGGGAAAAAGAAGAGAGAGAAAAATTGGGCCTGCCACCAAAGGTATAGCTTTATTTAAGTTACAAAACTTGTACATCACTCGAGTTACGATTAATCGTACCAGTTTAACCAACCGCACTGCGTCTTCATTTACAGATTGAATTTTTACATTAAATTCCTTATTCCAGGCAGAGATTACAGAAGACGAAACAACACCAGAAGATACATCCAAAGTAAACCTAAAAGCTATAGAAGGACCATCTACTCTTCTAGAAAAGTACGGTCCTGAAGAAGTAAAGACTAAAGGAGGCATAGCTGAGGATATGCTGTCAGGTTCTGAAGCGGGGGATTCTACTAGTGAAGATAGCACTGATTCTGATAGCGATATGGACAATAAGGAAGAAGGTTTTGTATAAAATAACTACAGTAGGTATTTACCATCTTGATCATAATTGAACATAATGGACAAATAATTAATTTCAGAGCCATCAACAAGCAAAATTGAGTGGTCACACTTAAATCCTGGGAAGCGTCTCGTCCAAGAGGTCAAGGTAGAGGATCCACCACCAAATCCAGCGCCAATCAATGACTACTGGTATGGATACAGAGGCGATCTGAAGCCTAAACCACAGACTGACAGGTAAGCGAAATAGAAATCCAAAAATAATTTAAAAGATTGTATTGGATTTTGGCACAATTTTCTGTTCAGCTTGCTTTAAGAATATTTTTTCTTTCAGCAAATTCATCAATGATTTCCATGCTCTTGATAATTTGTTATTTAATCAACCACCACATGTAGAAAGAAAAAGAGTTTCTCAGATTCTTGCAGGTATGTTTCAAATATTTACTCGATTATGAATTTCTATAATATTATTGTTTTCATAAACGAATTAAATCAACAGAATCGAGAAAAGGAGGTGCAAAAGCAAAAATTACAGAAGTCGTCGAAGAAAAAGACAACGAATTACAAGAAGAAGCAAAACCGAAGCCTTTGATTGAAATAGTAGAAACACAAGATACAAAACCAATGATAGAAGAAGTTGAACCCAAATCTGAAGAAACTAGTGAAGTCATAGTAAGCACGGGTATTGAGAAAGACGGAGATCTTATAATAGATCACGACAAGAAGGTGATAACCAATCAGCTCAAAGAAAATGAACCTGTAAATAAAGCGGATGATAAACCCATCGATGCAACAGAAGAAACAAAGTCAAGTAAGAAAGCTTTAAAGAAGATATCAATTGAAGAAATACCTAAAACTGAATCTGTAGATGTCCCTGTTACGGAAATACCACTGGATAGTGATAATCAGACTAAAGATGAAGTGAAAGAAAAGGATAAGGGAAATGAAGGCACGCAAGTTGACAAAGAAGATAAACATGAAATTAGTAACGTTGATACAAAATCTGAAGAACGAAGACGTAGTGGTATGTAATATTATTCGAGGTACTTGTAATCAAACCCAAACAACATTTATGGCGTACCATTATTGCTGAAAAATGTCATATCCCTAGATACTTAATACATAACGGTAAAATTGAACACTATAATAAATTCCGTGATATTTAGCTAGCTTGACTCTATTTTAAATGTGAATTTGTGTGGAACTGTTAAACATAGTCTTTCTTTCTGGCACCAGTCCAAAACAGCGACGGTGATGGAGTGGCTCTCATCAACTACATGCACCGCATGAACACCGACGAGGGAGACGACGAGGACTTGGAACCCAGTGCTGAAGACTTGGAGATCTTCGCCGAGCTCGACCGGGAGCAGGAGGAGCGGCAGGCCAGGATCGACAGGGGGGAGCCGGCTGTGGATCCTATGGTACGTTATCATCATCAGGTCAATTAACCACTACTGTACGATAGGCTCTGTCTTAGCAGAGGCTAATGGAGGACTCACTCCCCATGCCAGATAGCCAGACGGGCTGGGAGGCCTGGTTGATATTTTCGCGGAATATCACAAACTTTTAATAAGATAAAAAAAAATCAAAGTCGATGCTGATTAAGTTCCTTATAGCTTATTTAAACTACAACTTTTAGTTTTACAGGTCTCTGATATTTAATACTATTTTCAGAAACTCTACGACAAGAAGACGATGGATGCATTCTATAAAGCGGAAGAGTGTGTGCCCGCGCATGCAGTGAGGGATAAGATCATGTACACCACGTACAAGCACGACAACGCGTTCGACAGGATCGCTCTGAGCCAGCTCACCGCTGGGGACAGACCAGGTATGTCACTTTACCACGCAGGTTTTAGGAAATCGTACCAAAATTTTACCATTTAAGAGACTAAATTGAGCAGGTTAGTGGGCCGACGATCTGGTGAAGAATGTTGCGAAAGTAGCAGAAAATACGGGCAGCGTAGAACCGGGCTTTGTGGAAATCCTTGGGGGAGGTCTTTGTCCAGCAGTGGACGTCATTTGACTGAAACGAACGAAAGTGAGTAGGTGTGTACCTTTAAACAGTCTCCCTAAATAGAGGCCTAGTTATGTACTTACTATCTATTACGAAATAGAAGTTGTTCCACCCTTTACACCAAGGAGGTTGTAGTAAAAGCTAACAACGATCGAAGACAAAATTGATTTATTTTAATCTAACCTTTTCCAGATGAAAAGAAGGTTAAGCTCACATACGTCCCTGGAGCGGTTTTGTACGAGTACCTTGACCAGAAACCCTGCGCCGAACTGGACTACGAGATTGGTGAAGAGAAAGTGGATTCAGGACGTATGTATTTTGCTCATTAGAAAATACACCGGACTGTTAGTTTTGCTCTAGAGGATGAAAGTGTCACTCTTGTCATTATTGGTACTGGTATCTCATTCGTTATCATTAATTTCCATTACGTCTTTAATGCGAGTGGCACTTGTTGATATAATCTTGATTTTTGAATAGACAGTATCTTTGTATTTTCTTGCCCCAGCTTCATCAGGAGAAACAGAGTCCATACACGTACTCAGTGACACTGACACCAATTCTGAAGATGAAGCCCTAGAACTTAAACCAAAGCCAAGCACATCCAAATCTAATAGACCATCCACTGCAGCTGTTAGAAACACTGACAACAGCCAAGCTAAAACTGAAGATAAAAAATCACCCAGAGATGATACAGATAGGGGAAATCACACTTCTGCTAAATCTGGAAGATTCGTTCCCACTGGTAGCAGTCAGAGCACTCCTGGTAAGAGGGAGAAAGGTGAAGACTTCAAGGCAAAGAAAAGAGATGGTGACTTCAAAAACGATCCCGAAGGTAGAGGTCCTGATGCAGGAATTAAAGAAGATAATGAAAATGAAAATTTGAATTCTGAAAAGCGTTAGTATTTTGAAAATTATGTGGAGTTTTGTTACCTAGAATTAGTCGACCTACAGACGCAGGTAGGACGTAAATGTTACCATTTAAATTTTGGTGCAAAAATATTCCATTTTACTTACATTATTCATTCGACACACCCATTAATCGAAACCTCAAATGAAGACATAGATGTCCTATTTGTAATGGTAATTTATAAGAATGTGTCTTCTTCACATTTTCTATCACTAACAATTTGATAATCTTGCAGAAGATGCTCCAAAGACTGAAGCTCTATCGTCATCTTACGAGACGATGCTGAACGTGGACCGCGAGGAGGCGAAGCAGTCCATCATCAACACCATCAACTCTTACGAGGATGAAAGGTTTCCTTCGCAAGGTAACGACAAAATTGTATACATACATGCCTTTACGATGCTTTCGTAGATGTTGATAACAAATGGCAATATTAGAAGTACTTACCAATATCTTATGGAGACAAAGGTTAGCAGAAGTCTTTAACATTCGTCTTGCTTTTTTCTTTCGCTGAATTATATCCTGGATTTGCAGCAATGAGGGTTTCCTTAGTCCTTAGAGTTCGCCTACCGCTTTAGCGCTCACCAGTTTGCTCCGTTGTCCTAAGATACAACCACAATAAATGAAAGGACTTTACTCGCAAGTGATGTATACGCAACTCTGGTTCTGGTTTCCATCACCATATTTCTTTGAAAAAGATATTTATTAAACATAAGGATTATAAATGCATTGTTTCTCTCAGGTGTAGACCGCTCGGACATGGTGTCGGATGCTCGCATCGAGCAGTCAGTCGCCTCTGAGATCCTGGACAGAACCCTGCAGTACGAGGAGCGTTCCTACTTCCAGCAATACGACGTGCTGACCAGCCAGGCCGGGAATATCGATAACAAGACCAACGCCATCATCGAGCAGATTTCAGACCAGTTTGATAACGAGTATTCTGTAAGTAGTCGTTAGCATCCGTTCAATACATAATTTAATCCATGTCTCACGGCTATGGGTCTTTGCGCTGTACTTCGGTCCCTACAAATTTTCTCTTATCTATTCCTTCTCATTGTTAATTCTCCCTCTTCTGAGGTTTTACACTGCAAATATTCTTCTAATAGTGGTTTCTACTTCTCCCAGTTGCCCGAAGTATCACGCATCCTCGAAGTCCACATGGACGCGGCAGAACAAAGATGGCGGGCGGGGGAGTTCCTGCACTACATCGCCGTCAGCCCAGCAGAGTCAGTGGCCGACCCAGACGACACAGAAGTGACTCTGGTCCCCAGTCACGATACATCTCTAGAGGATACGTTGACAGACGAAAACGTCAACCGAATGGAAGCCATCACAGAGTGCAACGACTCAGGAATCGGAAATGACAAGTCTATAGTTGGAGACGATGATGATAATAGTACTAATACTGATGGAAGAGCTAATGATTTTCCAAATAATGACAGCGGAGTTTCTGATACTGAGAGAACTGACAATAATGGCACTCTATCAAGCGATGAAAGGAATGAAAGGGATAATGATTCTTCGACAAATGTTTCAAGTTACAACAAAACCGACGAAGACAAAGACGTAGCTGAAGACAGTTCAGTAGCTGACGACTCGAAAATCGAAGATTACCAATCAGTTCTCGATGAAAGTGACATTGGTAACGATAAAGTGAACGATGTATCGACGGAATGCGAGGAGATGTTTGAAGATTGTGAAGAGATGGGCGAATCGAACGATGGAAAAGACGATTTCGATCTTATAAGCGAGAATTACTCTCTAGAAATGAAGCTAGCTCTAGGGATTCATAAGGATTTGTAAGATATTTATATATACCTAGACTATATAGAAGTCTACTGTTGATCTCACAATTAAGATTACGATCGAATCTCACAGAACACCGTCTTTATCGCTATTATTCCTTACAAAATAAGATCAATTTGATCTTTGATGCTGTCACAGAATAGCACTCTCTCAAGAAGTATCGATTACATTTTAGTTTTTTTTATTGCTATTTTGTCTGTATGAGAGGAAGAGAGAAGTCATTTATTGCGAGTAACTTTTCTTTTTAATATTAGATTGTATTGTATTTATTATGTACTTTTATTTTAATTTGTTGTACTACTAGTTAATGAAAGGCAATATGTATAACAAATTATAATTATATTTTCATATACTTAATACATTAACTTATTGCACTTATTTTTAAATATAACGACTCATTAAACTTTTATATAAAAATATTTCATTCTGTTTAATTTTTACTATCAAGAAATGATAAATGACATAATAGATACACGATAAATTTTCACTTTTACACATAAATGAATAAATACATAAACCGAAACCTTATTGGCACATTAAGTTACTATTTAACACTTTAGCTGCCAGGATAACTAACCCAAGAAAATTGTGGCAGCTAAAGTGCTAAAATCTACTAAAATAATGGGATATACATAAAACTATGAGTCAATAAAATAAATAGTTTGAATAAAATGCATTACATAATGTATGTAAAAAACTATGGTTCTAAAGTAAAAAGTTATCCATAAAATGAATTTTTGTGATGTAAGTCACTTGTAATACCAAGGACATCCTGGAATATTGTGATATTCCAAAAACAAAGAAATACATTAGAGATCATACCACAATGAACAATTTAATAAGTTACCAGTACATATTATCTGTGCCAGTACTATTTATTATTGCTGTTTTGTTTGCAGTCTTTATTCCAAAGAAATACTCTAACCTGCTTAGGCTGAGTTGCACCACCTAACTTTGACCGTAACTATGACGATAACCGGTGTATTTTGTATGGAGTTTGACAGATTTTTGACGTTTGTCAAAGTTAAAGTAAGATGGTGCAACCCACCCTTATACTTTGACTGAATTATTACTACTAAAAGTAGCTTAGAAACAAAAGTCAGTCAAAACATTAATTTATCAATAAAGTCAGTCTGCATTTGATTCATTTTATAACTATCCCAAAAACAAACAAAAACATGTTGTAACAATCCGATTTTTTAAAGAAAAAATATTTTGATCCTTTAAACATTATAAAAAGTAAAACCCAACTCAAAACTTACCTTGAATCCATGAAAATATAACCCTCTTTTTAAAAAAAAATTAAGGCTGAATTGCACCAACTTATTTTAACCGTGACTATAACGATAACCGGTTTTTTGTAGTCTGACAGACTTTTGACGTTTGTTAAAGTTAAAGTAAGATGGTCCAACCCAGGAAACCCAGCCTAATTTAAATTTTATTCCAAATAGTCACACCCTACGCGTGCAAGTGGGCCTAACGATACGATATGTACAACGTTATTGCGTTGTAAATTTTAAAGCAAATAGCATACCTCTAATTCGAGGTTTAGAATAACAATAAAACTTGCAGAAGTTGACTTCCGCAAGCTGTTTACCACTATGTAAATAGCGGTGGCAAGTCAACTTCTGCAACTTTCATTGCTAGTCTAAACCTCGCTTAAAACAATCTAACCGTAATCTGTCCAGCCGGATCGACTGTCAACGAGTACATAAACCATTCTAAAACAATGATAGATTAATTTTCTAATAAATACACTTCTAGAAAAATATATACAAATTAAATCTAAGTATTCGCTTACTTTTAAGCGTTAAATTTTTTTATTTTCCCCCATATCTTTTTGGTTAAAATGGCGGAATATTTGACACTTGAGTCCCAGTTAAAATATAGCGAGTTGAAACTGATAACAAACTAACAAAGACCCAAAATATACTGTGTGATCTTCTGGGAATCTAAACTAAATTAGAATATTTTTTATTGCTCACTGATTAGGCCTGGTACGTTATACTTTTTATAAACTCCATTTAAAATCAAGTGTGTGAAAGACAATTTAAAGCAATCACAGAATCTATGCTTGATTTTATACAAGTTTTGGGCAAAAAAGGCGCTAGCTTCCAAAACATACGTCAGCTAATAAGATCGATATTCACGGTTGTATATTCCCCAAGATATTGTATAAAAATGTTAACCAAATAGGTTGATTTTCCACAAAACGCATTGGGCCTTATTACAAAAAAAGTTACACGCGCGTTGAAAACTGGTTTAAAATGTAATGTTCATACTAAATGAAAATTTAAACGGAATGTTCAACGCGCGTTTAACTTTTTGTAAAAAGGCTCTGTATTCTAATAATACAAACTCCTTTTGCTACTGCTGTTATCTAAAACATATCTAATATATTTATCTATTAGTCTATGTGCATTATTGCGTTATGTATAGCATGCATCACGTAGTACACACACTACGTACAAATACCCTGTGATATGATTTATTACTATTTAACCGTATGACGCCAGATTATTTATCTAAATTGTAACATTTTGCTTGGCAACGTGGTCAGGTCCAAAAATTTTTTATTTGTTATTATTTTATCAAAATAACCTGGTTTTCTTTAAAACTATCCATTTAATTATAAGAAAAGGCACACAATTGCTTTTGTTACAAACTATTGTTTAATAATAATAATAGGGACCATGAAATTTAACATCTATGGATATTGGATTTTCTATTTTTCATTAACTGCAAATAACTCTACTTGCTTCTAAAACTGCCTAAACAAATTTTATTCTAATTAAAGCGATACCCTACCCTATTTTTATAAATAAATTTTTGAACCTGGCAACACTGGTAATCCAAAATGGCGTCATACAGGGGCATCAAACAATACTCAACTACAAAAATCATTCCAACCTCATGCGGCATGGTGTTTGAGGTCGAAAATCTCCATCAGCAGCGGTTCTATGGGGTTGACGTCCAGATACACTCCCGTGACCTCCTCGGCCAGTTTGCGGAGTTCTAGAATCTTTTGGATCAGCTTCAGGAAGGTGGACTTCGCTTCGCATCCCGGGTATACGCTTTCGAGGTACCGCCGTAAGAGGTAGTAGTAGGAATTCTGGAATTAAGATTTTTTTGAGTTAGTGAAAGTGTACACAGAATGGCGGAAATAATTAGCATGAAAAGTACCCGTAATAAGGAACCACACTTTACAGGTAAAGTCAGCATCAATTTCAACTGCAAATAAATACATACAGCCGAACATATAACCTCCTCCTTTTTTGAAGTCTGTTAAAAACTATCGTGGGTCTGTAAATTCGAAATAAATTTGGCGTGAATAGGTACAATGGCGTATGTGATCAGTTTTATAAGACAGTAAGGTTGTTCCAAGCGAGTGTTATATCCTACAATTGACCTGTTCCAGCTTGATCACGTCACACGTCATCTTGGGCCAGTCTAGCGCAATGGCGAACATGATCAGTAGTCCAAAGCACCTACAACTGACCTGTTCTAGTTTGACAGTACGTGGCGTGAACAGTACAATGGCGGATGTGATCAGTTTGATCAGTGTCCTGCTATATCCTACAACTGACCTGTTCCAGTTTTACCACGTCCGCGTCCCTATGTACGATCTTGGGTCTATCCGGCGTGAACAGAACGATGGCGAACATGATTAGTGTTCTGCTATAATGGCGAACATGATCAGTGTCCTGCTATAAATGGCGAACATGATCAGTGTCCTGTTACATGCTACAACTGACCTGCTCCAGCTTGACCACGTCTCTGTGCACAATCTTGGGCTGGTCTAGCGTAAAACAACACAATGGCAAATGTGATCAGTGTCCTGTTATAAATGGCGAAAATGACGCTATATGCTACAACTGACCTGTTCTAACTTCACGTCATTTTTATGAACAATCTTGAACCAGTATAGCATAAAACAGCACGAAGGCGATTGTAATCAGTGTCCTGCTATAAATGGCGAACATGATCAGTATCCTGCTACAATGGCGAACATGATGTCAGCTGGTAGAGAATGACGTATGGCATTAAGCTCGCCTTTTTGTACAGAACATTGTTGTGTGTGCAATAAAGTCTTTAAATAAATAAATATATGCTACAACTGACCTGTTCTAACTTCACGACGTCCCTATGAACAATCTTTGGTCTATCCGGCGTGAACAATACAATGGCGGACATAATCAGCGTGACGTGCTCGTCGGCGCGCCACTGCGGATCGAACGAGCGAATGAACGACTCGTAGGAACGATAGATGTTGCCGGTCACGATCAATGTTCGGAGCCATTGATGTATGACCACAACTGACCTGTTCTAGCTTGACCACGTCTCTGTGCACTAGGTATCTTGGGCCATTTTAGAGTGATCAGAACAATGGCGAATGTGATCAGTGTCCCGCTATTAAGTGCGAACATGATCAGTGTCCCGCTATAAATTGCGAACATGATCAGTGTCCTGTTACTAATGGTGAACATGATCAGTGTCCTGCTATAAATGGTGAACATGATGCTATATGCTACAACTGACCTGTTCTAACTTCACGACGTCTTTATGAACAATCTTGGGTCTATCCGGCGTAACAGTACAATGGCGGACATAATCAGCGGTCCCAACTCCCAAGAGCCTATATCTCACCTGTTCGAGCTTGACCACGTCTTTATGAAGAATCTTGGACCAGTTTCACGTAAACAGTACAATGGCGGAGAATGACAACTGACCTGTTCTAACTTCACGACGTCTTTATGAACAATCTTGGGTCTATCCGGCGTAAATAATACAATGGCGGACATAATTAGCGTGACGTGCTCGTCGGCGCGCCACTGCGGATCGAACGAGCGAATGAACGACTCGTACGAGCGGTATATGTTGCCGGTGGCAAGTTTGAGAACGTCCGTGCGAATGCAGCCGAACTGGTCTTGGACTTGGGGGATCTGGGGAAGTAGAAATAGAAAAACACTTTATTTGACATGAAAATAACATAAATAATACCGAACATAGAGAAAAAAACAGGGAAAAGTATTTTCCTGTGAAAAAGACGCCTCTCAGTATAAATCGAGACACGCGTGCCCCTGGTTTCCAGCGGGTGCCTCACCAGCCGTTAAGTTTACAAGTTTAACATTAACTGGAGGGCGCCACTATCATAACAGACTACATTCTCGGCTAGCTTCGGTCGTGTCGAGACATTCATTTTTAGGAATTTGAACTTTGAAATGATCGCGAGTGCAAATTGCAATGTTGGTTACGAATTTTGGTTAATTTCCTCATAACGAGTAGTATAGCTACAGTAATAGAGTAGATTCTGCACGAAGGGATAAAAAACTATCATGTTAATGATATTAAGTAGATGTGGAACAGAAATAAATGCTTACCTTCCACTGATTTCTTTGGCCGTCGTAATAATACGTCATTGTACTAATTAATATCATCACTTCTATGCACCCGCCTTTTAGAAGAGCAACCTGAAAAGATAAAAAAAGTTTTTATTTTACAGGCTTTTGTCAAGTGGGTGTGGTTAGTTAAGTGCTAAAAGGTATTGAAGAGAACAAAGAACGCGTTTTGGTTTATGTTCGATTCACAAAAAATAAAATGTCTTCAATTTTGTACGGTGTTACGGAACCAGTGCGTGTGTCCAACTTGGCAAGATAAGCTATAGTTTATCTAAACCTTTTTAAGTGTGCTGAAAAAGTTAAAACATGTCATACTGAAATACAGGTTGTTTGGTAGAACGTTAGACAAANATCTAAAATATGTCTAATGTATTTATCTATTAGTCTATGTACATTATTGCGTTATGTATAGCATGCATCACGTAGTACACACTACGTACAAATACCCTGTGATATGATTTATTACTATTTTATCGTATGACGCCAGATTATTATCTAAATTGTAACATTTTGCTTGGCAACATGTGGTCAGGTCCAAAAATTGTTTTATTTTTTATTATTTTATCAAAATAACCTGGTTTTCTCTTAAAACTATCCATTTAATTACAAGAAAAGGCACATTATTGCTTTTGTTACAAATCTATTGTTGAATAATAACAGTGACAATGAAAATTAATTATTGGGTAATAATTGGACGTTGGCTTTATTTTCTATTTTTCATACACTGCAAATAACTACTTGTTTCTAAAACTGCCTAAAAAAATTTATTCTAATTAAAGCGATACCCTACTCTATTTTTATAAATACATTTTTGAACCTGGCAACACTGGTAATCCAAAATGGCGTCATACAGGGGCATCAAACAATACTCAACTACAAAAATCTTTCCAACCTCATGCGGCATGGTGTTTGAGGTCGAAAATCTCCATCAGCAGCGGTTCTATGGGGTTGACATCCAGATACACTCCCGTGACCTCCTCGGCCAGTTTGCGGAGTTCTAGTATCTTTTGGATCAGCTTCAGGAAGGTGGACTTCGCTTCGCATCCCGGGTAGACGCTTTCGAGGTACCGCCGTAAGAGGTAGTAGTAGGAATTCTGGAATAAAGATTTTTTTGAGTTAGTGTAAGTGTACACCGAATAGTATGATCATCGTGATATTGTACAGTCAGAATCAACAAGATTTTATCTATTCTAGCTTGAGGACGTCTCAATGCAATATTTTGTGTCTGTCTGGCGTAAGTAGTACAATACAGTAAGTGATCAGTTTTATAAGCTAGCCTATGACAGACACATTCTCACTTCACAATATCTAGATGCACTGTTAGAGGCCGGTGTAGTACTCCAAGCGTCAAAACTAACCTGTTCNTAGACAAACTTCGTGGGTGAGTTATAGGTAAGGTCATTTTAAGAATACAAGTTCGCCCATTTGACCCTAAGTGAGCTACTTTTTTTGTCATTTTTGTCCGAAATTTGACCTAAAAACTGCTTCAATTTTTTTCTGTGTATCTCACCTGGTCTTCCTCGCACATGTTCTTGAAGGCGTTGATCTTCTTGGCCAGCTTGATGACGCGGCGGATGGCGACTGCAGTCAGGTTCACGATCGTGATCAGCCGAGGGTCGTGCTTGCCGTCGCCCTCCTGGGAAACAACATTCATCATCATCATCGTTTCGGCCATAGGATGTCCACTGCTGAATGATTGATGATTCCTCTTTCAATGATTGATGATTTCAGCTTGGTAGACTATTTCAAAAATACAATTAGACAGAAATATTATAAAACATTGTTTAGATCTATTTATCTACAGGGTGTTAGGTAAATGGGTATATGAGCCGACACTAGCCCATGTTAACATGGGCATATAAATGGTATGGTGAAGTCAGAAATTTGATTTCATCATTTTAATTTTTTTAATTTTCATATTAAATAAATTTTATAAAATCCGATTTGTATGAAAAATAAAATAATTAAAATGAAGATATAAATTTTCTGACTTCACCATACCATTTATATGACCATGTTAACATGGGCTAGTGTCGGCTCATATACACATTTACCTAACAGCCTGTATATTAAAGGCCGAAGATATACGCCAGCTTCATTTGGAATAGGCTATTTTACAACCTACAACTGCCAAAACTTTTTGTATAGTGATTGACAGATTCTTGACGTTTGTTAAAGTTAAAGTAAGATGGTGCAACTCAGCTTTAGATATGTCGATAATAACTAGCCAAGCGGCCTTATAACAACCCACGAACAGAAAAAATTGCGTCCGCTAGTTTTTACCACTGGACTGGAACTTGATTCTTAATTTATTTCTCGCAAGATTATTGTGTTCAATCCCAGGGGAAAAAATAGTGAATTCCAACAAAAATGTGTATTGTAATGGCTATAGCTAGTACCTTCAACCCGGCTGTGCTCGCGGTATCGCCGATGAGCTGTGAGATATCGTCTTCTATAGGCGCGTGGAGCGCCTTATTGGCAACTAATAGCTCATTTAGCTTCGCTCGCTCTACCTGGAAGAATAATACTGGGATTAGCTAGCACTTGTTTGACTTTGCTTCTGTAGGCTTAGGATGCGCGTCACGATAAACTTTCATCAAGATATTTTATCGATTTTGCACGATAAGCTCATCCATTTGTCGTCTAAAATCGCTGATAAGATTTTACTATGGCGCGCATGCATCATATCTAGCCCGGGTGTTGAAGAAATACCATTGCTATCTTTAATGAAATCTTATTCTATGACTCATTTTAATTCTCTATTTCATTCCCAAGTAAATAATATCATGACACTGAATTGTCTCTGCTCACAAAATATCATCCAGTATTCAATTCCAATTAATATTTAGTCAATACCTTAATTAACAACCATTCAATAAATAATATGTACGTTTTGTGTTTAAAAATAATCAAATGATTCATTCAAATATGGTCATTATTGTATTGTCACTTATTAGTTTTTCCTTCAGATAAACCTCTGTGGTCAATGACTAATAACTCATCATTAGTTCATTCAGTTCCCGGGAAGAGCCTTAACCAGGCCTGTGCATCTCCGCGAGTTTACATCGAAAACAAAACACGCACGAAGGCCCACCTACAGGATACGAGTACTATTCGACAAGGCCTCACATACGAGCGAACATTGACTCACGCACGCGTATTCTTGTGTATGATGGAAGAAAATAAAGAAAATGGTGTACTAAATACTGTGCAGTATTTAACTGCCTAAATAATAATAAAACACAGAATGTACTTTTTTAAGTTGCCTCAAGACACTGAGAGATAAATAAGTAGTTAATATTATTCATGATAATTAATGCTTAATCATGTATTCCTCCGCCATTTTCTGCAGTTTGGCACCTCACGTCACATCATTTTACCGAAGTCAGCCCTAGTAGCTTCGGCGCAGTGCCGATCACTGACGTTTGTCAACAAAATGGTGCTTGACTCTTGAGACAGGCTAAATTACATCATATTGTTAAGGACATTGAGCATACATTTTTTTAAATACCTTCTGAAGTAAAACTTCTGTACGTAGTACTTATTATTATTCTGTGCCTTAACTTAAAATATTACTTAGGCTAAGGGTTAGTTATGAGGTTTTGTAAAATTCTCTTTTAGGTTGTAATGACAAGAAATTATACAGAGCATCTTTGATTTGGAAGGATTTTGTCTAATATATTATGTAGTTTCGGTTATGGATACGGTTACGGATATAGGAATAATATTATACCGATTTCGGTTTCGGATATTTTTTTATTTCGGATATCCGAAAGTTGTCCAACACGTCTCATTTATGGCCGCACACTTTACATCGAATAAAGAGTAATAAAAAAATTAAAATTGATACTAGATGGCATTATAAAGGTAAATCAGGCTGTTATGGCTTTACATAAATAATGCTATACAAAAAAAATAAATAACTGCCTACATCCGAAACTATCCGAAACTTTTGAATCGGTTACGGTTATGGTTTCGAATATTTTTTTATTTCGGATATCCGAAAGTTTCGGTTACGGTTACGGATATCCATAACATCCCTGACCTCTATTACCTCATTCAGTTCCCGAGAAGAGCCGCACAACGTTAGACAAATTTCGTGGGTGAGTTATAGGTAAGGTCATTTTAAGAATACAAGTTCGCCCATTTGACCCTAAGTGAGCTACTTTTTTTTGTCATTTTTGTTTTTATTTATTTTTGTCCGAAATTTGACCTAAAAACTGCTTCAATTTTTTTCTGTGTATGTTACCTGGTCTTCCTCGCACATGTTCTTGAAGGCGTTGATCTTCTTGGCCAGCTTGATGACGCGGCGGATGGCGACTGCAGTCAGGTTCACGATCGTGATCAGCCGAGGGTCGTGCTTGCCGTCGCCCTCCTGGGAAACAATATTCATCATCATCATCGTTTCGGCCATAGGATGTCCACTGCTGAATATAGGCCTTTTTCAACGATTCATAATTTCAGCTGGTTGACTTTTTCGAAAATACAATTAGACAGAAATATTATAAAACATTGTTCAGATCTATTTATCTATATTATAGGCCGAAGATATACAACTCTTACAACCTACAACTGCCAAAATTGTTTATGTATAGTGATTGACAGATTCTTCACGTTTGTTAAAGTTAAACTAAGATGTTGCAAATCAGCTTTAAATATGTCGATCATAACTAGCCAAGCGGCCTTATAACAAACCCACGAACAGAAAAAATTGCGTTTTGCCGCTAGTTTTTACCACTGGACTGGAACTTGATTCTTAATTTATTTCTCGCGAGATTATTGTGTTCAATCCCAGGGGGAAAAATAGTGAATTCCAACAAAAATGTGTATTGTAATGGCTATAGCTAGTACCTTCAGCCCTGCTGTGCTGGCGGTATCGCCGATGAGCTGTGAGATATCGTCTTCTATAGGCGCGTGGAGCGCCTTATTGGCAACTAATAGCTCATTCAGCTTCGCTCGCTCTACCTGGAAGATTAATACTGAAATTAGTTAGCTCTTGATCGGACTTTGTTTCTGTAGGCTTAGGATGCGCGTCACGATAAACTTTTATCATGGATTTTATCGATTTTGCACGACAAGCAAATATATATTTGTCGTCTAAAATCGCCGACAACATTTTACCATGGCGCGCATTCTACCTAGCCCGGGTGTTGAAAAAGTACCATTGCACTCTTTAATGAAATCTTAATCTACGACTAATTTTAATTCTCTGTTTCATTCCCAAGTAAATAATATCATGACACTGAATTGTCTCTGCTCACAAAATATCATCTAATATTCAATTCAAATTAATATTTAGTCAATACTAAGGTATTGGTTAATTAAGATTAACAACCATTAAATAAATAATATGTACGTTTTGTGTTTAAACATATCAAATGATTCATCAAATATAGTCATTATTGTACTGTCACTTATTTAGCTTTTCCTTCATATAAACCTCTGTGGCCAGTGACTAATAGCAGTCTGTTACCTCATTCAGTTCCAGGAAGAGCCTTAACTTAAAATATTACTTAGAGCTATACATATTTCACCGGGACAACATGGCGGTGCAACCAGTCGCCGCTACCAACAAAATGTATGCAGCTGGTTGCGCCGCCATGGTGTCCCGGTGAAATATAGCCCTAAGGGTTAGTTATGAGGTTTTGGAAAATCTACTTTAGGTTGTAATGACAAGAAATTATACCGAGCATCTCTTTGATTTGGAAGGATTTTGTCTAATAGCAGGCTGATATGATAGATCGGCTCTATGTTATGGATATGTAGTTTCGATTATGGATACGGTTACGGATTTAGGAATAATATTATACAGGTTTCAGTTACGGTTACGGATATTTTTTTATTTCGGATATCCGAAAGTTGTCCAACACGGCTCATTTATGGCCGCACACTTTCAAAATTAAAATTGATATTAGATGGCATTATAAAGATAAATCAGGCTGTTATGGCTTTAAATAAAAAAAATTAACTGCCTACATCCGAAACTTTTGATATTTCTTTATTTTTGGTTTCGGATATTTCTTTATTTCGGATTCCGAAAATTTCGGTTACGGTTACGGATATCCATAACATCCCTGATCTCTATTACCTCATTCAGTTCTCGCGAAGAGCCGCAANAGCCGCACGGGTTCACAGATGTGTAGGCTTCGAACTCCAGCTTGATGGCTTCGCATAGGATCGACTCCATTGAGTTGGGTTCTATTCTGTGGAGAATTAGTTAAGATTATTAAAATGACTATTATAGTAAAGGACCAAAGGTTTAGGAAGCCCTTTAGCTAGGTCAGTGGTTCTTAACCTTTAAGTCACGAGGGACCATTTTACCAAATATCTGTCTTGTCAGGGACCACTTTTTTTTCCAAAATCCTATGAAAGGGGAGGTCGATTTCTCGCCACTGTGCGCCGTTTACGTTGTGTTGACTCGACTCATCACGTCACGTCACTTGTTTATTACGATGTCTTCGTGGACCACTTGGTATGCCTCCTACCGGTTAAGAACCACTGAGCTAAGTGGAGAGGCTAATTGGGAAAGGGCGCCGGCAGAAGCTGCGTTAAGCTGAAGACAGGGCAGTATGGCACGTATTGTATTGGGCGAGGCGTATTTTTTTTTTTTTATCAACAACGAGGAAGCTCTTGGCCTGTATCTCACCTGGTTAATCACTGCTATAAGCTCGCGATGACGACTATGACACTATGATGATGACAAAGACCAAATAATAATGATGACTTCAAAATGTAAATATTTTATTAACAGTCAGTTTAATGTTTTGTAGGGTATCTAGGTCAAGTTTAAAGTGGTCTTTATGGCACACCCCAAATATTGTGTTGATTAGACTTGCTATCAACTTTGAGACAGATAAGTTTCAATATAATAGCTAGCTAATTGCTCATCCCAGAAGAGGATAACCGTTACCTTGAGTTTCTTGTGATCTTAAAAGTTAATTAGTTATGTAGTTATGTGGTTTAGGAGATTTTACTTAAGGTTACAATGACTATACACCAACCATCTCTTTAATTTGGAAGGATTTTGTACAATTCCAAATCAAATTAAAAGCGTTTATTCGTGGATCATAGGTGACAATAATATGTAGTTGTTTAAGCCTAGGCGCAGACCATCGACTATTAGTTGGCCGATAGTTGGGTCGGGCTGTTAATCAGTATGGAGATGTATGGAAGTGCGCACATTACACCGATTTGGTATCGGCCGATTCTTCATACAAATTAGAATCGGGCCCAACTATCGGCCAACTAAAAATCGATGGTCAACGCCTAGCCTAAATTAGGCAGTCCAATTTAAACTGGTATATTCATAAGTGCCACTTGTGGTCTAAACTGAATAAATATTTTTGATTTTGATTTTGATATACCTCTCAACATCCTGCAGTATGTCCCGGGCCTTATTGACGTCGGGGTTGGTGCTGGTGGACGGTATCTCCTCACAAACGTGCTGCCGCTTCGGCTCAGTGTACGTCATCGTGTCGCCGTTGGTTAATATTGACCTGGAACATTTTTTGTGAAATATTATTCTTCCGTGAGTAATTAGCTGTATTTTCAACCGACTTCAAAAAAGGAGGAGGTTCTCAATTCGACCCGTATGTTTTTTTTTTTCTATGTTTGTTACGCGATAACTCCGCCAATTATGAACCGATTTGAACAAATCTTTTTTCGGCGTATAGGTAATACCTCAAGGGTGGTCCCATTTAAATTTAATGATAGAAAAAACAACCCCCAAGGGTGGAAAATTGGGGNATAAGTAGATTAATTATTTTTTCATTAGACAGCAACCCTAACAGCGTAAGAAGAGTTCAGAGGCACGCGATAGAAAGAGACAAAACTTGTAGGTGAATAAAATTGTAGGTAGGTACGTAGTGCTGTGCGAGCTGAATTCCACTGTATTGCGTCGTAGCAAGACTCGCATTTATTTAAATCGTCTTGCGGAGTAATCCTTCTGTACCTGTACTATTACTTATTCTGTGTCAGTATGGAGATGTATGAAAGCGCGCACATTACACCGATTTGGTATCGGCCGATTCATCATACAAATTAGAATCGGGCCCAACTATCGGCCTACTAAAAATCGATGGTCAACGCCTAGCCTAAATTAGGCAGTCCAATTTAAACTGGTATACCTCTCAACATCCTGCAGTATGTCCCGGGCCTTATTGACGTCGGGGTTGGTGCTGGTGGACGGTATCTCCTCACAAACGTGCTGCCGCTTCGGCTCAGTGTACGTCATCGTGTCGCCGTTGGTTAATATTGACCTGGAACATTGTTTGTATAAATGTTATTCTTCCGTGAGTAATTAGCTGTATTTTTCGATGTAAACATGTGCTTGTTATGACTTCCAACAAGCATCTTAGACCTTTCAACCTTTGTTTTGTCTCCTATAATCCCCTTTGCACTAAAGGGAAGTCGAACTTTAACTTGAAACTCCTATGTCTTTTGATTATTTTGTTGCGGGTCCAATGACAGTTTAACTTTCCAAAGGACAAACTTTAACTTCACTTGTTAGGCTTTATTGGTGGTCAAGCTGTAGATCCTGGCTACACAGGAGTTGCAGTGGGAACGAGAGGTGGGAATAGTCCCGTTTAAGCTGGTCCAGATGACGCGTTTTTACTCGCGCGTTTCGAATCACGCGATATTGAGATACGAGGTTCATACCTACATTTTGTCCACATGCAGTCGCGCGTTCTGATAAAACGCGTCATGGACCAGCTCTTATCAAGGCTAAATACAAACCAGTAAGTCTGTAATCTATAGGTAAATTGAAAAAAAAAAAAAAAATAACTGGTGCATTAGGCAGTTTAATTTGTTCATTACTACATAATAATATTATAGAACAAAGTCGCTTTTCTGTGTGTCCCTATGTACGGTTAGATCTTTAAAACTACACAACCGATTTTGATGCGGTTTTTTTTATAGATAGAGTAATTCAAGAGGAAGGGTTTTTTTAAGTATTGTACCTGTGCGAAGCAGGGGTGGGTCACTATTTATTTATAACTAGCTTTCCGCCCGCGGCTTCGCCCGCGTGGTATTTTGTCTGTCACAGAAAAACTTTATCGCGCGCGTCCCTGTTTCAAAAACCGGGATAAAAACTATACTATGTCCTTTCTCGGGACTCAAACTATATTAAAAATTTCATAAAAATCGGTTCAGTGGTTTAGGCGTGAAAGCGATACAGAGACAGACAGAGTTGTCGCATTTATAATATTAGTAAGGATTTAGTTTAAGATGCTACCAGGCCTGTTCATCTCCGCGAGTTTACATCGAAAACAAAACACGCACGATGGCCCACCTACAGGATACTATTCGACAAGGCCTCACATACGAGCGAACATTGACTCACGCACGCGTATTCTTGTGTATGATGGAAGACAATAAAGAAAATGGTGTACTAAATACTGTGCAGTATTTAACTGCCTAAATAATAATAAAAACACAGAATGTACTTTTTTAAGTTGCCTCAAGACACTGAGAGGTAAATAAGTAGTGAATATTATTCATCATAATTCATGCTAAATCATATTTCCTTCGCCATTTTCCGCAGTTGGGCACCTCACGTCACATCATTTTACCGAAGTCAGCCCTATAGCTTCGGCGCAGTGCCGATCATTGACGTTTGTCAACAAAATGGTGCTTGACTCTTGAGACAGGCTAAATTACACCATATTGTTAATGACATTGAGCATACATTTTTTTAAATACCTTCGCGAAGTAAAACTTCTGTACGTAGTACTTATTATTATTCTGTGATGCTACTTTTAATGCTAAGAAATTATAATAACTTTGAAAAAATCTGTTTAAGGTAGGTACTTATAAAACAAATTTTACATTGAGATAAAAATAGTATAGGAAGCAATTTTATTTCAACTTGCCCTTGACCAACTTATTACATGTTTTGTTGTGACTCACTATGTGATTTAAGAAAACATTAAATAACCTTGATTAGTGTAGTATCTTGTTGATAAAAAAATGTTAAACATTATTAGATGGCATTTTTTTTTACTTTGGTGGAAAGAGAAAAACAGTGCTAACTTTCATTGATTATAATTTTATCAACAAGTTTTCATTTGGATTTTTGTTTTAATAGATGCAGAAATCTATCCAGTCTCCAAATGGATAATGAAAGTTACAAAATACCTCCATATTTTTGGTTTTAGGAAGAACATTTTGTAAAATATCTCTGAAAATTAAGTAAAGAGATGACTTTGTTTTACAGGTTTTTTTAACAATTAAAGGTTTTGGATATGATACAGTTTGTAAGCACTACTAAGAAATAAAAAAATGTTTGTACACTAACAAAATATTTTAGAGATTATGTACAAACCTTATACTATTTTGTTTTGGGAGTTCAGCATATAAACTATTACTATTGTCCATTGTATCATACATATTGTATGATTCTTGCTGCAACCGGTGCTCGTATAATGATCTATTGATGATCGTCTTCTCCTCAATAGGATTGACCTTCATAGGGTACACGTCGCTACTCTGCACACTCGGAGGAGCGTAATACATCGGCGGAGAATGTAACGATGACTCCAAGTCATTGCTCAACGGTGACTGAACCGTACTGCTCGGACTACACGTCGTACTATTCAGAACATCATACTGAACTATTTGTTCTTGAGGTGGCGGTATGTACGTGTTAGTAATTTCATCGTCCCGCTTCGTTATTTTGGAGCTAGAGACAGCATCTTCAGGAGAATTATGATGACGTTTCTTCGCGCGGTTTTCTTCTATTTTTCTCCGCTTCTCTGCTTTGTCCTCTTCTGACATTATGAACTCCTTCACCATTCCTATCGCTAAACATTTTTCCAGCCGACATTTTTGACAAAATCTACGTGTTACCACAGTAATCTCACAGTTGTTCGTGAACGGACACTTGAACTCCTTACTAGCTAATGCATTGCGTCGAAAAAACGCTTTGCAACTCTCACAAGAAATCGCGTTAAAGTTGTACCCTAGCGCCTTATCACCGCAAACTAAACATATTTTCTGAAGATTAGACGGTATCTCCTTCTTGGTACCGGGCCCATCGTTCTTTTTATCGCTATTCTCACTGGAACTATCCATTTTCACAGTAAAATAACATAGAAATTCACTTTAGTAAACACAAAAGGATTCCACTACTTTGTAAGGCGCGACTACAGGCGTCACTCGGCAATTCACTCACGGGCATCGTGTTAAACGAACAGGCGATTAGGTAGCAACATTGATATTTAATCAATGTTTATTGATAACGTAACATTTTGCGAAAATGTTCAAGATAAATAAAATAATCTGATCCATTTGATGACTAATGTCATAAATTAGGTGTCATTTTACTGTCACTAATGTCAGTTGCACCATGTGTCAAAGATTTTTTTTTATAATTATGTTCCAGACAAGGCGATAACGCATTCAGTTTTCTTCTGGTTAATAATTTTCAATTTGTGGAATGATGTTGATGACTGAATAGGAAAATGGAACCAATAATAATGATAAACACACTCATGTTCTTGCTTAAGAAATAAAGGACAGTGCCAATCCATGTATGGAAGTTGGACCAAGTGCTGCCCAGAATGAAACCATAGTGCATTTTGTTCCTTAGGCCAATACTAATTTGCAAACCGAAGCGCACTGAAATCTATCCCTTGAGTTAAGAGAAAAAAAGAGTTTTGTTTTGAATTATTTACATACAAAATATCATTGATGTATACGTACTACGCATAAGATTTCGAGATTGTGGCATTAAATAACAAAGTATACACCGTGTTACTTTGCATTCTTGCCATATTCACAGAGATAAAAGTAGGGACCAATACCTATTATTTAAGATAAACAAGAGACTCCCATAAAGAAAATACACTGAGTTTTTAGTAAATTTCGTTTTGCAGTACAAATTGGAATAAACCAATTTTGTCTCGCACTTTCTACAGGTGCAAGTGGAATAAACTTAGTGGGCGTGGCCTAGTTCTTATTAATCTGTGATGTTTTATGGCTCTGGGTACCAGCCTTTTTATCCAGTCATAATAATTATTTTAAAATACTCTTCAGTTGATTTTAGATTTTCCTTTCTACTCTCAGTTTCTACTTTACGGGCTTAGGACCGTCAAAAATACGTAATAATTATTAGGCTTTTAATTAATTTATAACATTGTTCCCTATTTTTACAAATTAATAAATTAAGTATGAAATGAAATCACCTTATTCACAATTAATTATTTATTTATGAGTTCCTACTTACAAAGTTTACGTACTGCGAAGCAAGTGTTCAAAGTGTCCTCCGTTCTGATGAAGGCACAGTCTAGCACGGCGAAGCGTAGGTATTTCGCTTTAGTTTTCGCAACACATAAACGTTTTGTCTCACAGTTTCGCTGAAGCAATCCTTTCACGTAACACGTTTACACTTTTTATCTCTTCTGCGCATACCAGTAATAGATGCAGAAATCTATCCAGTCTCCAAATGGATAATGAAAGTTACAAAATACCTCCATATTTTTGGTTTTAGGAAGAACATTTTGTAAAATATCTCTGAAAATTAAGTAAAGAGATGACTTTGTTTTACAGGTTTTTTAAATGATTAAAGGTTTTGGATATGATACTAGTTACTAAAAAAGATGCTTACACTAACAAAATATTTTTGAGATTATGTACAAACCTTATACTATTTTGTTTTGGGAGTTCAGCATATAAACTATTACTATTATCCATAGTATCATACATATTGTACGATTCTTGCTGCAACCGGTGCTCGTATAATGATCTATTGATGATCGTCTTCTCCTCAATAGGATTGACCTTCATAGGGTACACGTCGCTACTCTGCACACTCGGAGGAGCGTAATACATCGGCGGAGAATGTAACGATGACTCCAAGTCATTGCTCAACGGTGACTGAACCGTACTGCTCGGACTACACGTCGTACTATTCAGAACATCATACTGAACTATTTGTTCCTGAGGTGGCGGTATGTACGTGTTAGTAATTTCATCGTCCCGCTTTGTTATTTTGGAGCTAGAGACAGCGTCTTCAGGAGAATTATGATGACGTTTCTTCGCGCGGTTTTCTTCTATTTTTCTTCGCTTCTCTGCTTTGTCCTCTTCTGACATTATGAACTCCTTCACCATTCCTATCGCTAAACATTTTTCCAGCCGACATTTTTGACAAAATCTACGTGTTACCACAGTAATCTCACAGTTGTTCGTGAACGGACACTTGAACTCCTTACTAGCTAATGCATTGCGTCGAAAAAACGCTTTGCAACTCTCACAAGATATCGCGTTAAAGTTGTACCCTAGCGCCTTATCACCGCAAACTAAACATATTTTCTGAAGATTAGACGGTATCTCCTTCTTGTTACCGGGCCCATCGTTCTTTTTATCGCTATTCTCACTGGAACTATCCATTTTCACAATAAAATAACATAGAAATTCACTTTAGTAAACACAAAAGGATTCCACTACTTTGTAAGGCGCGACTACAGGCGTCACTCGGAAATTCACTCACGGGCATCGTGTTAAACGAACGGGCGATTAGGTAGCAACATTGATATTTAATCAATGTTTATTGATAACGTAACATTTTGCGAAAATGTTCAAGATAAATAAAATAATCTGATCCATTCGATGACTAATGTCATAAATTAGGTGTCATTTTACTGTCACTAATGTCAATTGCACCATGTGTCAAAGTTTTTTTTTTAATTATGTTCAAGACAAGGCGATAATGCATTCAGTTTTCTTCTGGTTAATAATTTTCAATTTGCGGAATGATGTTGATAGTAGGGAATTTAGTGCAATGATTTGTATGGAGANCAAAATTTTCGGGCATTATTTTTTAACGGATTTGTGTTCAGTATCAGTAATATAGTTACCTCTGTAAATATGGCAAGAATGCAAAGTAACACCCTGTATAAGTAGTATATCCGTTAAGCTAGCACCCATAACACAAGCATTAAGTTACTTACTTTGGGGCTAGCTGGCGCTGTGTGAAATTGTCCAAAGATTATTGTCCAAAGAACTTTAGTACGACTTCGACATTCTTTCTAAGCGATCAAGCGCTAAAAACATATTTTCATGTGCGTTATATGAAAATTTTATACAATCGGCATGCCTTTTCACTACGTGATACAATGCACAAACAACGAGTAAACAGCAAGATAGAAATAAAACAATACAATGAAAAATGCGGAGCTGCAAAACGCGTCCCAATTTGCTTACTCGAGATTTTACATCAGCGGATTTCATGTTACAGTCACTTTCAAGTTTAATAATAACAAGTATATTCAAAAATGGCTAGTTAAGATGTACCATCGGTCACAGTGTTAACTATCCCTTGCCTGTCATGTCGTCTCGTTCTATCGCAAAGAATCAATCACCATTTGATTAGAGCGAGAGCAAAAACGGAAATGAATAGTTAACAGTGTGGCCTGTGTACGTGGTGCCTTAATCGATTAAATAATTGTTACGAAATTATTATAATAATTAATACTTTGGAGTCAGGATTTATGACATTCAAAATTAAGAAACCTTTTTACTAAAAAAAAAGATAAAATTAAGATAATGTATTTTTTAAACCACCCTAACTATCACAGATTAATAAACCCAAGGCCTAACAACAAGCTTAATTTCATTAAGTACTTGTATTTTACAAATTTATCAGACCAACTACATAAAATAATTTTACTAAAATAATACTTTAACCGCCACACGATTCCAAGTCATCCCATGAAATAAAATAAATACAAAGAGTAAGCCAATTACTCCGTTTAGTATTGTTTTCGAAATGGGCCGACTAACGCGCCTACTTTTAATATTTATGGGGGTAGTTCTCCCCCCAGATTTTGTTAGTGGTGAAACGTACAGTGTGAAAATAGGGACGGATAAGTATGTGAATGTGGTCAGCAAGAATTTCCTGAGTTTCACAGTAGACCCGAAATATTTGTTTTCGAGCAGCGAAAAGTATGAAAGGTATGTGTATGATTGTATTTATTTAGAGGTGTTAAAAACTTAGGTGGCGATTCGTAAACAATAGAGTTCCTTATAAAATTCAGTTGGAAGAGCTGTCGCCCGGCAAGCGAAAGTTCGTGGGTTCGATTCCCGCCTTAGACAGTTGGATTTTGTTAAGTTGTTTATTTAAAAATTATAAAATAAGTTTCCTAGAGGGGATAAAAAGTGCCAGCGTCATAATCGTAAGAATACTTTTCGAAACAATCAAGTTTCCGATAAAGTTTTGCAAATAAAGGAGCCACAACACAACTTTTTTTCTGAACTCCTTTAAAAAGGTACTTATTTGAGTAAAAGATTAAGGTAAAAGTTACCTACACCGCTTGTTACATTAAAACTTTATTTTCCAGCAAAGAATGCGTGTGCATGGCATCTTCGCTCGCCCCAGCTTACCTTCGCATCGCAGGACCATCCACTGCACACATGACTTTCAAAAACTCTACCATTACCATAGACAATAATAAATACCAAGATAAACCAAAAAAACTGTTGTCCAACCTCCTTGGTAGAAATAAAAAAAGACAAGCGGTAGAAAAATTACAAGTGGCCAGTGATCAATGGAAAAGTTTTGCAATGTGGGCAAAGGCAACAGGCTTCGAAATAGTTTTCGCGCTGAACAATGCGTTGAGAACGAGATCGGGGACGTGGGACACGAATTCGACTTTGGATATTTTATCTGTGGCGGAAAAGGCGGGAATCAGTAACATTTTTTGGCAGCTGGGGTATGGTAAGTGGAAAATTATTTTGTACCCACCTTTCAGTTTTTCGTCAGGCCCCCCGCCAGTACTTGTGGAGCAAAAGAAATTGCATAAAATTTTTCGTAATCTTTACAACTCTTTATTTTATTTCGCAAGAGGAGCAAATTATGCGGCGTAAATCTGCGTAAGTTTTAAAACATTTTAATTTTATGTGTGCGTTTTGTTTATGTACCTACTACGTGATTTTACACTGTATTTTTTAACGCAATTTAAAGGTAGAGCACTGTGCCAATATTTTAATCAAATTGTTAATTTAGCTCAATTTAGCTTCTTTATTTGTCGTCTCCCTTCTCAGGAGTCGAAATAGCTTGCCTGATAGTACAAATTATGAAGGTATGTAGGTACGTATTGAAAAAATTCCATAAAGCTCTTTTTTGGAGGTCGATTTTTGTATGCAAATTACCTACAATAAAGTACAATAAGCTAACTACAATTCATGTCAAGTTCCCAGGAATTATGTAAGATTTAAAACTATTATTTTATGTAGGTACCTAATGTGCTCAAATGTGACGATTTCTGCGAACTTTTTAGTCGATAAAATTAAAAATTTTAAAGGTAATCGATTAGTGATTATAACGTGTCCGTATTATCAATTAGGTTTAGGTATTTTAAATAATTTAAATGTACGCCCGTACTATAACATATTTTTTATTCCTTCCACAACTTATTTTACCTACCCACTTGGAAATCTTTGTTTAAAGCCAACCAACCAGTGTAGTGATAAAGGTAGCAGGAAGGCGCTGGATGCAGGCCGTTACCAACCGTGCGATGTGGAAGTCATTGGGGGAGGCCTATGTTCAGCAGTGGACGTCCTATGGCTGAAATGATGATGATGATGAACCAGTGTAGTGAGATCGTAACTCCACGCGTAGATGCTAAATTTCTAATATCTATATTACTACTACTATATTTTTCCTAGTAAGCCGGTAGGCTCACCATAATAATAGGTCGACGGGTGTAGAAGAAACCATCGTTCATCGGCCAGTCTGATGCCTTTTTTGGGCAATTGACTATTGATGTATTTAAACTACTCTCTATTTTATAGTCCTGCAATTGAAACTGACGTGTGTTTCTCAAAATAACATTTATTCATTTTTACCCACAGAATGCTCCAACCAGAGCATAGACGACTACCTCAACGACTTGGAAACGCTGCGGGTAGTATTGGAATCTTTCCCGACGCGCGGCTGGCGCGTGAGCGGTGCTGACGTCACGGGCTGCTTACGTCCGGGTTCCAGAAGTGACTTTAAGGACTACGTCACTCTTGCGCTCGATTCTTGTGATGCTGTACTGCTTAATGGGTGAGAGAATCTATATTATTACTAGCTTTTGCCCGCGGTTTCACCCGCGTGGAATTCAGTTTGTCACAGATCGTTATACTCGTAAATTAAGCTATGTTATTCTGAGATAACTCAGAATAACATATAATTATAAAAGCAAGAATATTGTAAAGTTTCATCAAAATCCGTTTAGTTTTTGTGTGAAGAAGTAACAAACACATTATTATTCACAAACTTTTGCCTTTATAATATTAGTGTGAAGTGTGATAAAAACGAAAGTAAATTATCTGTTACCTTTATGTGTGTCAAGGGTTTTTGATATGGGAATAGAAGGGGGTGAAATAGGGGACGAAATTTTGGGGGTTATCTTTATTATTTCCAAACACAATAGTATACTGGTAGGCGAGGCGAGAAGGACAACTACCTTCCGCGCTAGTAATAAAACTGTGTTGGGTTAGGTACTCATATTATGATTTAAGTTTAACATAGTACAATAGGACACCCCCACTTTTCCCACGGATGGTAGAAGAGGGAATTGTTCCGAAATAGAATGGTAGAAATATGCAAACCTAATACCTCTGTTTACCTCTGGTAAATTGAGAGATTCATGTTTATGCAGTAGAGACTAATGCTCGTTTTCACCATCAATCCCTAATTTTTAAGTGACCCCTATGGTAACAGATAACAGGCATTTTGTTTTCATTGGGGTCACTTAAAAATTAGGGATTGATGGTGAAAACGGGCATAAACGTCCTAACTAAAGAGCTTAGTGTGAGCTGTGAGTTTACATCAAACGTCGTCATAGTGAGCGCGTTTAAAAAATCTATGAAGATTTTAGCTCTTTAAAGTATCCACTAGGGTCGCTGTATAATCTAGTAGTACTAGCTCTACAATAGTATCAGTCAATCACTAGTGAAGACGTTTGATGTAGCCCACAGATGATGATAAAATTTTGAAGTGTTTAATCCTAAGATGTGTCATTATGCCTATTGAATTTATTCCAGAAACTCGTCTTCCCACGAACTAGAGCGCCTCTCCCCATCTGACCGCTTGAGGCTTCTCAAGTTACTCCACGCCAGTAGCACTCCGCTCTGGCTCACAGAGAAACCGCAGGGCTCGGCGGAGCTGCAACGCGCCGCCGACTGGTTGGCCGGCCTCGGGTACTCAGCTAGGAACGGGTTCGCCGTACACTATAGGGAGCTGAGTGAGGAGGAGCTGTATAGACCGACTTTGGTGAGTGTAGATAAGTTTGTCTTAAGAGTTCTCACCTTATAGCTGGAGCGTCTTTCCCCATCCAACCGCATGGAGCTTCTAAAGCTGCTCCTCGTCAGGACTGTCCCAGAATTTACAGGAACCGCAGTGTGTCGTATCGCGTTCGTTGCTAACTTAGGACACCATCGCGTCGCGATAGATACTAGCACGTAGGCCACAAGCAAGGGATGCCATTGGTATGATCGCGCTCGTCTCTGACTTAGGAGACCACGTCACAGTATAACTAGAACGCATCCCTACATCTGACCCCATGACCCTACTTAAGCCACTCCAGATACTGTCACTGACTGACAAGTATTTTTTTAACTCTTCGTAGTAAGCAAGATGCTTGTGTTGCGAGTGGGTTCACCACAATAGTTAGCGGTGCAGCAGGTTTCGAACCTGCATTCATCGCATTTGCATTTGGATTTGACATCGACGATACCATTGAACTATTGTCACTTGAATTTCATTTAGAGCACTCAAATAAAGCTCGTTTTCAAAAATGTTTTATTTATTTNAAACTGACTGTGTTTCTCAAAATAACATTTATTCATTTTTAACCACAGAATGCTCCAACCAGAGCATAGACGACTACCTCAACGACTTGGAAACACTGCGGGTAGTGTTGGAAACCTTCCCAGCGCGCGGCTGGCGCGTGAGCGGCGCTGACGTCACGGGCTGCCTGCGCCCTGGCTCCAGAAGTGACTTCAAGGATTACGTCACTCTTGCGCTCGATTCTTGTGATGCTGTACTGCTTAATGGGTGAGAGAATCTATATTATTACTAGCTTTTGCCCGCGGCTTCCCCCGCGGCTTCCCCCACGTGAAATTCAGTTTGTCACAGATCGTTATAAATTAAAGCCTATAATGTTATTCTGAGTTATAAGCAAGAATATTGTAGAGTTTCATCAAAATCCGTTCAGTAGTTTTTTCGTGAAGAAGTAACAAACATATTCACAAACTTTTGCCTTTTATTAGTGTGAAGTGTGATAAAAACCAAAGTAAAGTGTTTACCTTTACGTGTGTCAAGCGTTTTTGATAAATTTTGGTAGAGACTTTGAAATAGAAGGAGTGAAATAGAAATAGGGGACGAAAGTTTGGGGGTTAACTTTATTTTTTTCCAAACACAACTGAAAATACAATCGTCATGTTAAGGTAACTTTATGTTAAAAAAATATTTTATATTGGTAGGCGAGAAGGACAACCTACCCTCCGCGCTACTAATAAAACTGTGTTGCGTTACTCATATTTATTATGATTCAAGTATAACTTAGTACAATAGGAAACCCCCACTTTCCCCATGGATGTCGTAAGAAAAGATAGGGAATTGTTTCGTAATAGAATGGTAGACATTTATGCAAACATAATAAATGCCAAATCCTTTTACCTCTTTTTGCCTCTGGTAAATTGAGAGGTTTAAAATAATCTGATAAAGGTAGCAGGAAGGCGCTGGATGCAGGCCGCTACCAACCGTGCGATGTGGAAGTCATTGGCGGAGGCCTATGTTCAGCAGTGGACGTCCTGTGGCTGAAATGATGATGATGATGATGAAAATAATTAATCTATGAAGATTTTAGTTCTTGAAAGTATCCGCTAGGGTCGCTGTATAGGTATAATCTATTAGTACCACAGAATAATAATAAGTTGGCAGTACTAGCTCTACAATATCACTAGTGAAGACGTTTGAGGTAAAGTCACACTAAGCCCGCAGATGATGATAAAATTTTGAAGTGCTTAATCTCAAGATTTGTCATCATGCCTATTGAATTTATTCCAGAAACTCGTCATCCCACGAACTAGAGCGCCTCTTTCCATCCGACCGCTTGAGGCTCCTCAAACTTCTTCACGCTAGTAGCACTCCACTCTGGCTCACAGAAAAACCGCAGGGCTCGGCGGAGCTACAGCGAGCCGCCGACTGGTTGGCCGGCCTCGGATACTCAGCTAGGAACGGCTTCGCTGTACACTATAGGGAGCTAAGCGAGGAGGAGCTGTATAGACCTACCTTGGTGAGTGTAGATAAGTTTGTCTTAAGAACTCTCACCTTATAGCTGGAGCGTCTTTCCCCATCAGACATTCTAAAGCTGCTCCTTGCCAGGACTGTCCCAGAGTTTACAGGAACTGCAGTGCGTAGAGTCACGTTGCTGACTTAGGACACCGCCACGTTGCGCCAGATACTAGCACTTAGTTACTTAGGCCGCAATCAAAGGATGCCATTGTTTTGACCGCGAACTACTCCCCTGAAGATTACAAAGTAGTCCCAAAGTCTGCAGGAGAGCTGCATGTTGCATCGTTTCACCCTCGTCGCTGACTTAGGACACCGTCACGTTGTCCCAAATACTGGCTCGTAAGTCTCGTCTTATCTATTCGTCATAGTAGAGCTGGAAGTGCTGGAACGTCTCTCTAGCTCTCTACATATGACTGCATGAGGCTCCTCAAGTTACTCCATGCTAGCAGCACTCCGCTCTGGCTCACAGAGAAGCCTCAGGGCTCGGCGGAGCTGCAACGCGCCGCCGACTGGTTGGCCGGTCTCGGATACTCAGCTAGGAACGGGTTCGCCGTACACTATAGGGAGCTGAGCGAGGAGGAGCTGTATAGACCCACCTTGGTGAGTGTAGATAAGTTTGTCTTAAGAACTCTCACCTTATAGCTGGAGCGCCTTTCCCCATCCAACCGCATGGGGCTTCAAAAGCTGCTCCTCGCCAAGACTGTCCCAGAATTTACAGGAACCGCAGTGTGTCGCATCGCATTCGTTGCTAACTTAGGACACCATCGCGTCGCGATAGATACTAGCACGTAGGCCACAAGCAAGGGATGCCATTGGTATGATCGCGCTCGTCTCTGACTTAGGAGACCACGTCACAGTATAACTAGAACGCATCCCTACATCTGACCCCATGAACCAAGTTAAGTCACTCCATATACTGTCACTGGTGGAATAACTCTCACAGTAGAGCTAGAGCGCCTATCCCTATGCGACTGCATGAGGCTCCTCAAGCTCCTCCACGCCAGCAGCACTCCGCTCTGGCTCACAGAGAAGCCTCAGGGCTCGGCGGAGCTGCCTCGAGCCGCCGACTGGATGGCCGGCCTCGGGTACTCAGCTAGGAACGGGTTCGCCGTACACTATAGGGAGCTGAGCGAGGAAGAACTTTATAGACCGACTTTGGTGAGTGTTCCGTCTGTAGTTAAGTTGGCCTTCAAGATCTAAAGCTGATCCACGTTAGAACCACTCCCCTGTAGATAACCATGGAGCAGTCGGCGGAGCTGGCGCTCGTCACTGACTTAGGATATCGCGTCATAGCGGACCTGTAAAGCCTCTCTATATTTAGCTACATGAGGCTCTTTAAGCTACTCCACGCCAGCGCCAGTCTTTTCTGGGTCACGAAGCAGTCTCAAAGGTCGCAGAAGCTGGCTTCTTCTCACCAGATTCTGGCTCGTAGGCCCGCAAGCAAGAGATGCCAATGGTTTGATCGCACTTGCCGCTTCGTGTTGAGTTTCGCCCCTCTAAATCCGACCGCATGAGGCTCCTCAAGTTACTCCATGCTAGCAGCACTCCGCTCTGGCTCACAGAGCAGCCTCAGGGCTCGGAGGAGCTGCCGCGAGCCGCCGACTGGATGGCCGGTCTCGGATACTCAGCCAGGAACGGGTTCGCCGTACACTATAGGGAGCTGAGCGAGGAGGAGCTCTATAGACCGACTTTGGTGAGTGTTCCGTCTGTAGATAAGTTAGCCTTCAAGATCTAAAGCTGATCCACGCTAGAACTACTCCCCTGTAGATAACCAAGGAGCAGTCGGCGGAGCTGGCGCTCGTGACTTAGGATATCGCGTCATAGCAGACCTGTGAAGCCTATCTACATATATCTAGCTACATGAGGATTTTAAAGGTACTCCACGCCAGTGCTAGTCCTCTCTGGGTCACGAAGCAGTCTCAGAGGTGGCAAAAGCAGGCTTCTTCTTGCCAGACTCTGGCTCGTAGGCCCGCAAGCAAGAGATGCCAATGGTTTGATCGCGCTTGCCGCTTCGCGTTGAGTTTCGCCTCTACATTCATACATGAGGCTTCTCAAGCTCCTCCACGCTAGTAGCACTCCACTCTGGCTCACAGAGAAGCCTCAGGGCTCGGCGGAGCTGCCTCGAGCCGCCGACTGGATGGCCGGCCTCGGGTACTCAGCTAGGAACGGGTTCGCCGTACACTATAGGGAGCTGAGCGAGGAGGAGCTGTATAGACCTACTTTGGTAAGTGCTGTTGGTTGCAGATGCTTTGAAGAACACTCTCACATCGCAGAAAAGTTGGGTTGTCTCTCTCTATCTGACTGCAGAGGTCTACTAAAACTGCTCCACGGAGCGACGAACAAAGGCTCACCTTTAGTGTTATTGGTCTGTACCTAGTTGGCTTTGTTGAAGAACTCTTATCTGACCGCATGGAGCTTCTAAATATGCTTCACGCCAGAGTCACTCTCCTGTAGATTAGCAAGGAGCAGTCCCATGGTCTGCAGGAAAGCAGTAATTTTCGTCGTGGCACCATCGTCGCTGACTTAGGACATCGTCACGTTGCGCCAGATTCTGGTACGTAAGTAGATTTATCACTCTCGTCGCGTCACCCTCGTCACAGACATAGGAATCCATCAGTTTGCACCAGATACTTGTACGCCTTAAGGAAGGAATGCCATTGGTTGGCGATTTTGTTTTTTCCCTTAAATATTACCGTAAACTACCTAGTGCTGAGAAGAGTCTAGAGTAAATACATTTTTAACCTTGTAAGTGCTTTGGACCTGTTCTGTAAGTCGCGTATATTTGATTAGACCCTTATTTGGTGGACACGTATTTTTTTTTGTTAACCCTTCGTACTAGTACTAAATGTGGCGTGGCGAGTGGGTTCACCACAATAGTTTAGCGGTACAGCAGGGTTCGAACCTGCATTCATCGCATTACTTGGATTTGACACCGACAAACACCATTGAACTACTATTTTCACTTGATTTTGATTTAGAGCATTTACCTAAATAGAGCTTGTTTTAAAAAAAAAAAAAAATATTTATTCCAGAGCTTCTACATGGCTCTCCTCTACAAAAACCTAGTCGGCGAGCGGGTTCTCTCAGTTGAACTGGAATCATCCCAGGCGCTTCTGTTCGCGCATTGCACTGCTTTGCGAAGGCAGCCGGTGCCGGGGGCTGTTACCCTGTATGGAGTGAACATGGATGAGGAACCAGCCAGGCTGTCACTAAAGCTATCGCAACGGGAGGACGGCGGGGACATCCTGCAGTTTATACTGAGCCAGGATGAGGACGGGTGAGTTATTTTTCAAAGACTTGAGCAGAAGTCATCCAAGGCATTTCTATTCGCGCACTGCACTGCTCTACGAAGGCAGCCGGTGCCGGGAGCAGTTACCTTGTATGGAGTGAACATGGATGAAGAACCGGCCAGGCTGTCCCTGAAGCTATCGCAACGGGAGGACGGCGGGGATATCTTACAGTTTATACTGAGCCAGGATGAGGACGGGTGAGTTAAGGTTTTTTGAGCGAGTGGTTTCATCTTTTAGCAGCCTTTCAAACTGATGGACAGCGGGGACATAGACATTCTTCAGTTTTTAATATTAAGCTACTACGAAAGTTGTTACCCTTTAGGAAGTCAACATGAATGAAGCAACAGCAAGGCTTTCACTAAAGGTGTCTCAACGGGAAGACGGCGTGAATATCCTGCAGTTTATACTGAGCCAGGATGAGGACGGGTGAGTTATTTTTTAAAGACTTGGGCAGAAGTCATCCAAGGCGCTTCTGTTCGCGCACTGCACTTCTCTGCGAAGGCAGCCGGTGCCGGGGGCTGTTACCCTGTATGGAGTGAACATGGATGAAGAACCGGCCAGGCTGTCCCTGAAGCTATCGCAACGGGAGGACGGCGGGGATATCTTACAGTTTATATTGAGCCAGGATGAGGACGGGTGAGTTAAGGTTTTTTGTTGAGCGAGTGGTTTCATCTTTTAGCAGCCTTTCAAACTGATGGACAGCGGGGACATAGACATTCTTCAGTTTTTAATATTAAGCTACTACGAAAGTTGTTACCCTTTAGGAAGTCAACATGAATGAAGCAACAGCAAGGCTTTCACTGAAGGTGTCTCAACGGGAAGACGGCGTGAATATCCTGCAGTTTATACTGAGCCAGGATGAGGACGGGTGAGATATTTTTTAATGTCTCGAGCTGGAATCATCCCAGGCGCTTCTATTCGCGCACTGCACTGCTCTGCGAAGGCAGCCGGTGCCGGGGGCTGGGGGTCACAGCCCCTGGTGTGACTCTATATGGAGTGAACATGGATGAGGAACCAGCCAAGCTGTCACTAAAGCTATCGCAACGGGAGGACGGCGGGGACATCCTGCAGTTTATACTGAGCCAGGATGAGGACGGGTGAGTTATTTTTCAAAGACTTGAGCAGAAGTCATCCAAGGCACTTCTGTTCGCGCACTGTACTACTCTACGCCGACGGCTGGTGCCGGGAGCATTTACCCTATTTAGAGGCTGTCGCTAAAACTGGGTCAGGACCGTAAATGAGCCAGAATGAGTGTTGGTAAGTGTGGGGATATTCTGCTAACTGTTTTTAGCCACTTTGAGGTTATAAATAACTTGGAAAAATCGAACTCCTTAAAGTGGGATACACTTAAAAGATTTTCAAAGTTTTAAAGTGAATTAATTTTAAATTACCTAAATAAAAATCTCGAACTAACAAATGCCATGTACAGGTCGCGCAACCAGAGTTGAGGCCATCAACACAAGCAAAAACCAAATTTAGTTTGGTTGCAGACAGTCAACAGGAACGAGAAAGCTAGCTGAATTTGAATGTGTAATTTGTATTGTTTGTATTCCAATAATATACATCAACGTTGAGCGACCTATAAATATTTTAAAGTTTGCCAATGATTTTTGTAATTAAACTAATTCCTGCAGTCGTTTCCTAAAATGTAAACTGGGTGTGATAACTGTACTAAAATAAAAGCCGAAGAAGTGACGAAACTTCTAATAACATTTTTTTATGTTGTCCTCAGGAACATCATTGTGAATGGCCGAATTATGTCTCAAGAGGGCGACATTCGTCCAGTGGTGAAGCGAGTGCGTCCATATAAGACTCTACTCATCAACTTACCGGCGAAATCTATCGGCTTTTGGGTTTTAGCCAACACTAAGATAGAGGCTTGCAGGGATTTCCAAGATGGTGCAGGAAAACTGGTTGAAGCAGTTACGGTTGAAGTTGATGTCAATAAAGATGTAGAGAAAGATACAGATTCTACAAACACTAGGAGGAAACGTTCATTATTAGATAATGATCTGGACAACTTTGACGAGTATATGAAGTCTGAGAGTAAAGAATGGAATGACAGAGTCGATGATTTGAATGACTATTTGAAAGAAGTACACAGCATTTTCAAAAGCAAACCTGTTTCAAAAACTAAGCGACATGCTTATGAAGACAACCAGACGACAACGAAATTGAAGAGACAATTGCTGAAAACAAGACAGCAATTCAAACTGAATGATGAAGAACGTAGACCTGTTTTGAATTTGATTGATAATTTGCTAAAGATCAGAAGAAATGGAACTAAATTCATCAATAAAATTGGACATGGTTTAATGCTGCATAGAAGCAAAATGGGTAGCAAAAATTATAAAATCACGGAAAACGGATTCGAACCGCAAAAACATAAACTATCAAGATCTAGAAGAAGTGTAAGCGATAAATATGAAGACCTTTACAACCAAGAAGTAGTAAAAGATAATGAAATTGATATCAAGGATAAAGAAACCAGAAAATTGTGGAAAGTGCTTCATAGTATCCAAAGTCAACTTAAGAAAATGACGGAGGACATCTCAGAAAAGTCTCAAGATACAGGAAAAGAGGATGATTCCGATCCAAAAGCAGAACAGGACAAGTTAGTAGTGAAAACAGAAATATCAGAAGATAGTGCCAGCATCAAATTTAGTGAAAAACCTAACCATGGTATTCTGAAGGAAGCGTTCGGGAAATTGTTTTCTGCTATCACCGAGTTGAACACGAACTTGAACAGATTCTGGGAAGCATTCGACTTCTTCGAATAGATGGACAAGATCTTCAATGAAAGGTACTTTTGTTCCTTTATTATTTGAAAGTTTTGATTACTAGGTAGTAACTTTTTGAATAATACCTACCTAAATTATCAGTAGTATTAGTGTTGTAACTGCTATATCAATCATTGTCTTTGTTGATGGTTCCATTTTAAGGTATATTCTATTTTTAGGATAAGGGTAAATAAATAAGGTTTTTATAATTTTTTTATAAAATAAAACACAGCAATGGTGGTACAATGTAGTTTATTTATTATTTAACAACATGGTAGATAAACCATTTTCACACTCGCCGTGTAGTTGATATGAAAATGGCTACCTCTAAACTTTATACATAACTAATAGGGACCTCGTAAATAAAGGTAACAATGCATCGCAACGTTAGGGCGAACATAGGGTAGCAAGCACCTATACTACGTGACGCCACTCGCGTGGCAGCGAAACAAACCCTAACTTATCTTGATAACAACAAGGTTCCACAAAAGCTCAATCCGATTTTAATTACCTAAAAACATTTTCAACAATAACCTCTTTTTTTCGTTTTTCATTCATAATTCTAAGTTTAATGTTATCGTGGATAAACTACTAACCTTTTTCTTTATAATAACAATACAACATACGTATGAACCACGTTCATATACAGTACAATGGTAATTCCGATTTTCAAATTTGTTCTTACACTTTTTTTAAATATTTTAATTTCGGTAAACTTGCAATTTTAGCACTAGATTGTCACTAATATTAAAAGCTAACGCGCTAAAAGTGTAATGTTAGCCAATTATAAACAAACAACGTGAACAGTTGAAGAGTTCGGTCTGGACTGAAGCTCAAAAGAGTTGAGTCAAACCGATGTCTCCTACTGCATCTTAACGAATAGTAAAACATCAAAACTCCCCGGCAGTGTGACTGCGTCCTTGTATTTTTGTAAAATAAACCTGAAGCGCATTTTAACAGCAAAGTGTGGCACTTAAGAATCAGTTCTCTATGGGAGCCGCCACACTGCCGGAGACCAAATCATGAATATCTGGCTCAGTGTTTGAAGCTCTTGTGTCAGTGTGTACGAAGTGTCGTTGTCTCTATTTGTTTTACTTTATTTAAATCACCCGTTTCGCTTATTCTGTGACTATTACTCGAATTCGATTACATAGACTTCAGAATAAGTTGTTTTTGCATCGATTAGCTATTCAGCCGAAATATTATGTTCTTGTTTGTCTTCATAAGATGTAATGATATCATCCAAGTAGAGTATCTTTTGTTAGACATTATCTTAAAAGATCAAGCTGTGATTTTATGGATGTTCTTCAATTATTTCAGTCGAGTGACTAATCGACACTTCCCAGCAGCAAAATGTATGGAGTTGTCATATCTATTACTTTCTTTCCTAAGCTTCAAAGTCTTTTATAGATCTTCTAGAAAGTAGGTCTTGACTTGTTCAAATATGACATCCCCAACAATCAAGACGTCAGTCCCTAACGTTAGATCTAGTGCAACTATCAATAGGCTAATTTATAATAAATTGTTTAACAAGGTTTCAAAATGTATAAGTCTACCATTTCATAACTCCTCTAAGGATTAAGAATAACAGTGAAAATTTCAAACCCCCTATTTTAGAGAAAGAGGAACAAGGTTAAATTCAAGAAAAAGGTCACTATCACTTTTGAAGAGGATTTAGAAAGCCATTAAAGGCCAAAAAGTCAAACAGCCGCCTAAACAATCTAACCGAACAAAGATATATAAATAGACAACAATAATAGTCAGTATATATATTTACCCTGAGTATGAAAGTCATAAGATCAACTGAGTTAATTTTGTCGAGGAAAAAATCTAAAATTGGTCAGTTTTAGATTCCCTTAAAAATATTCTACGGGTGATTAATAAAAATGAATTACACTCTGATTAACGTACAATTATGTCTAAGCTACACATCTACCTTGTATAAACCTCTTTATAAATTCATTATAATATTACTTTAAGGGGAAATCAATGTTTGGGTGCGGAAATATATTTTACAAACTATAGACAGACGTGGGTAGATCGATGTGTATCGGGTGGTTGGTGGTGGTATCAGTGATAGTGTCATGTCAGGAGGTATTGACTCGTTTGTCATAACGCTTGATGTTGCTCCGTTTGCCGGAGTTCTGAAAACTTAAACACGTTCGTATCAGTTAAATCAACAACCATTTGATATCACCCAAATTCCTTTCATATATTGCGCACTTAAGCAACTTTATCACTAATTACATATTTACTATACACCGAACATTGAAAGCTTAACATACAGGTTACAAACACGTAGATAGTAGCTTTAAGAAGCAAGGTCCGCCAGGTCTCGTACTCAAAAGAAACGGTAAGAGAACGATACACACCGCGCAAGAGCTTGACACTTACACCAAACGCAATCCTCAAACACATGCAAATGTTACACCATTTTGAACCGCAAGTAATCGTTCGTTTTAAATTAGTGACAAACAGCGGAGTCATCCAAGTTGCAACTAGACTCGGCTACGTACCAAAATAATTTTCTAAACAACTATTTCTACTTAAATGAGAGTCAACAACGAAGAGCACAGACTAAGGTCAACTACTAGTTAGATCGAAGATAGACGAAGAAGATAAGGGAAAGGGTCTACAGGAGTATCCGATAGAAGCTAACACATCGAGGTAAAGGGAAGGAGAGAAGGATCATGGAATATTGGTCGTGTCAAATCATACAAAATCGATAGGTCTGGTTGACTTACGCCTATTATTGTTTATTCCAAATATCTACGAACAACCGTTTAGCTAGAAATTGCCATGCACATACATAGAACTATGTTTTTTTTGTAATACATGATAAACCTAGGCTAACCACAATTACGCTGAAATTTTAAGTTATACCTTACAAATACAAGAATGAAAAGATGATGCGGTGGACGGGGCAATGGCTTATATTCCATTTCAGATGCCCATCTATAGTATTATTTAGATATATTTAAGTTTAGATTAGATTGTAGACTATGACAGCTATGCGTGCTCAAAATAAGGTCCTAAAGAAGCTATGAAAATATACATCAATGTGCAATAGAGTGCGAGAAAATATGAATCTTATATATCAGAAAAATAGTAGCATTTTCAGTAAACAATCAGAAATTATTGTTGTATTTGTCGTATTTACATGTGTGTGTATATTGAATAGTTTTATACGATCTGATTTGAATGCAATAAAGTGAGGGTAGGTATAATTGACCTGAAAGTTCAGTGAACATAACAGCGCAATAGTTGTAACTCTAAACTTAACGTTAATTATAATAAGCATTTGCCGTACGTAAATAAACGTGAAGATTAACATAACCTTACAACTAAAAGTGAAAATACATGATGTGCTGATCGATGCAAAGTTGGTTCAAGATTGAAGTCTACGAGAAGAAGTGTGATTATTGAAGAAGTGGTGTCGGTATGAGACATTAGTGATAGATTCGAAGAAGAAGTCGTAGTAGCTAATGAATGCAAGGGCGCGAGCGGTCGGGCCGCGTCAGGCGCACAGCGTTATTTAATTTATTTATATATCACAGCTTTTGACGATAACAAATCTTTTGCATTTGCAGCTTAAGTGGAGTCAATCGTCCGAACAACCAGCTCTGAGCCAACTGACCGGTCCCGTAGGACGTCTCTCGCTACTTAGATGTTGTCTTCTCTTTCCCACGGATCTGCGTGGACATACCTGAGGCCTATCGCTCGAAGAATTTGCTCGCACGTGTGATAACTTTATACCTAAGCGTAAAACATCCATAAACGTTTAGATTAAAGCCGACGATCCCGCCGGCCGACGGTAAAACAACACGAAGTGTTAGTGTATCTACATCTTTACATTACGTCTAAACGAACATTGATCTTAATATTAGACATGCAAGAACAAAACGTGTCAAATCTGCGGCGGTCTCGTCCCGCGGGCGGAGGTCCGCCCAGATTTGCTCGTAACAATATGTCACTTATTTTATGTTCGATGTTGTATTAAAGGCTAGGTCGATTACAGGTATGTACACCTAAACAAAATACACTGACACAATATCGATTTACACTGCATAAGCACGCATGCAAAAGATTTCGAGGCAAAAGTGGAAGTTCCGAAGAGAGAAAGCGAAGAGCACAAGCCACAGACCGAAGACAGACATCAAGCCGAGTGGAATTTGGATGAAAACAAATACAGAATACATTGTTATTTCAATGTAACTTTGAATTCGTCCCGAAGATGAGAATAGATGAGAGAGCTTGAGAAGTCGAGTTGAACCTACACGCGTGCTACGAATTGCCTTAATTTTACATTTCCTTCTTTATTAATATTACACCGTTCATCTAGTTGTATTTATATTATTTCCTCATTACACTTAAATAACAATATATCACAAGCATCAACATATAAAAGTGGATCGTTTCACAAGTGTCGGTCGGTGTCGCTCGCTCGGTGACTTTTTGACCCAGATCGCTTCAGCGTGACTTGTCGGGGCTCTCCAAAAATTTTTATGAATGTATAAAAATATTATTGCTCATTATCAAGCACCAACGCGCACTAGCCAACTACATTCCGAAAAAATTTAGAATTCGAATCTCTCGTACGATATTGAGCGCGATTTTGACGGTACCCGAACCAAATGATTGGGTTTGGGGGTGGGTGGGGTGATGTCGGGTCGGTGAAACGTCGTAACAATGACTTAGCAGCTACATCATGTATTAAGTAAGGGGGCGCCGCGGCGCTCACTGCATCACGCACTTGCTCTCGATCTGCGACTTCAGTTCATTCACTTGCGTTTCGATGGTGTTTTTCAATTCTGGAAAGAGGTAAGGTACACTTTAGTAAGCACAAAATGTCTTGAAGTTACAAGTAAAATAGTTTATTATAAATTGAGCAAAAGGTTTTGCACATATAAATAAGATTCCAAAAACGTAATAAGTAAGCGTCAAGTAGACGTGGAAAAAGAATGAAAAAACTTATTTTCTTTGGGTGCTAATAGGGTCAGGATTTTGCTATGCAAACTAATGCACGAAGGAAAACGGGAAGTATAGTAGTGGTTCAATTTAATATCCCCTTCTCTACGTTACGCAATTCTTTCTATGTAAGACTCTTCTTTGACTACCCAATTGTTTACATTTGTCATCACTGTCATCGGCATCATCATCTGCCATAGAGCAGTCTCTACCTTATCGCTTTTTAACCTACCCACTGCTACTAATATTCTCAAAATCATCAGTCTAGCCAGTTGGTTACTTTGCTTTTGTCTAATAGTCCAATGTATTAGTTTATTAGTCCAATCTTTGCGGAAGAGCAGCTTCTTGACATGCCCTTTTGAGCATGTCACGATAAACGCTAAACCGTTGCATGTATGGATACAGTATTACCTACTTAGTAACGATTCTTTATGTCCTGTACCCATTGTTAAAAAAAATGAATTTATTGCCATCGAACCATAATGACATTGACAGATATGTCAAAATCCACCAATCATGCAGCAATGAGGGCTATCGTTTTTATACTTAACAGTTGGCACCCCTGGCGATTGACAGGACCTTACTCTACAATGGCGCCATCTTGATGAGTGCAAATGCGATAGTCCTCCTACCACTTTAGCGCTCACCAGTTGGTGCCACTGTCTTCGCTACTAGCAAGCGACAGGACCTTACTCTACAGTGGCGCTAACTGGTGTGCGCTAAAACGATAGCCCTCATTGGACCTCGCGTCTACGTATTGCCATCTGGCGGATTTTTCAATCGCGAAAACTCTCATTATAGTGTGTCAATAGAGATTTTTCTATTTCTATTTCAATCTTGAGAGGGAGTTTAATATACAATTTACTATTGCTATGAAACTCACTAGTGAACTCGTCCTGGTCTTCTAACTCGGCCTCCGCGGCCAGCTCCTCGGGCGTCTTCTTCTTCCTCATGAGCGGGTTGTCGGGCTCCATGGGCTGCTGCTCAACCACCTCTTCCTTCTTAGGGATTTTGTACTGGAACAGAAAGAGTGCGCGGTTTAGAATATGTATTCAATACCTATAGGTAATTTATTTTAATTTTGGGTTATGTAAATGACAAATTAATGTTAATCGTCATCATCATTTCAGATACAGGATGACTGAACACAGGCCTCCCCTGATGATTTTCATATTGACTGGTTAGTAGCTGCTACCTTTAAGGTAGGATAGTTAAATTTAAAGTTCTTTGATTGAGACATTTTGGGACGTAACTAGTAGTTGTGTTATTAGTAGGTAACTAAAAAGTTTAGTAATGTGCATTGTAATGGCATCTCCAAGATCCTGGCTACACTGGTTAAATGAAAACGTATTGCCTAATCCAAGGCAATTTTAAATTCGTGTTTATTTATCAATGTAGAAACGAATATGTCTAGCCACTATTAAGTAGAGAAGAACACCGCGACATACCGAGTTATTATCCAAGTTTAGAATCGTCTCTTAACAACGCACCATTAAGAATTCCCACAAATAAAATCAAAACGTCTCCATTTCAAACTGGCCGCGTCGCAGCGTCACGTAATCTTCGAGAGAAAGTCGTGGCAGAGCCTTTCTTTAGCTTGTTAGGGGAGCGGCACCGTAATGAGATCCCCCGGGAACACCGCGGAAAAAATGTCTTTAAAATTAAAATAAATCCCTCCCAAGCCACAGACTTGCATCTACTCAATTGGAGATTAAAAGGAAAGGAGATTGCTGCGGGATTTCTTTTCTATTTCGTAATTAAACGGCCAATAAATATGATTCTTGCGGGAATAGTAGTTTACAGTGTGCGTTTGAGTGGCAACACCGCGTTTTCGGAATCGAACACAGCGCCCTCTGGGAAATTATGTGGAAACCGGAGCCTTGAGATCGACAAGCGTCACGCGGCTTTGAGGCAATAACGCGAATAATATGGACCGGCGGTGCCGCTGGGGACGCCTGTGGACACAGGAATCTACGTGCTTTTTGAGAAAATCGTCTTTGACGTCAAAACATCTCTGACGATTGGATTTTTCCGGAACCCTTAAGCACTAGACCTAGCTGTGCGACTTACGAGGCAAGCTTTGAAATAAGTATATTTTATTATTTTGAGATGTTATTACCCTTATTCATCCAATAAATAAACAGTGGGTAGGTTAAAAGCAACGTTTTAACTCATATACCGTTCAATCTTATTCTCCATAGCGGATAAGTAGGTATTTGATTTATCGTGACAAAATTATACAAACTATAGTTTTTAATAAACCTACTTTGTACTATTTTTAGGTAGTTTTGTGGAAAAAATTGCTAAGTTTCTAATTAAAACGATCGTAGCGTAAGCGGATTAANACTTCGCTACAGCATTAAACTTTGGGGAAATAGCTACCAATATAACATCAATAAAGCCTTTGTAGCACAAAAGAGGGCGATAAGGGTAATTTTTCGTCTTTCCCAACTAGAGTCCTGCAGGGATTACTTTATTAGACTGGAAGTTCTTACGGTCCCATGCCTCTATATATTCGTCACGCTCTGCGACATAATTAAACACCCAAACAAAGTGGAGACTCCCCTGGAAAGAGAAACAAGACTTACCACCAGGAGGAAAGACATTCCTACTAGAGGTAACACAGATTGGCCGAGACTTAACATTTTTAAACACAGTGCTTACTATCAGGCATCACGTCTGTATAATGGGCTCCCGATGGAACTGAAGACCATTAACAAATTATCGGTTTTTAAAAGAAAATTAAAATCATTTCTATTGAGAAAGTGTTATTACTCTGTCGCGGAATATATTAATGATAAGTATAATATTTAATGGCTGGACATATTTTTGACTAATTGCAATTTAAAAAATTAAGACATTTTTATCGTATATCAATTGAATTATTTTTATTTATTTTTTATTTTTATTATGATTATTTAAAATGACATGTTAGTTAATTGAAATATAATGTAATGTATTTTTGTAACTTGTTCAACGCAATATGTATTTTTGCTATGAGATATTTTATTATTTTGAGATGCTTCCCTTATTCATCAAAAAAACGGCAGCTGGGTAGTTATATAGCAAACGTTTTAAACCATACACCGTACACTTTTTTTACCCGACTACGCTAGAAGGAGGGTTATTTTCCATAGCGGATAGGTATTTGATGTATCGTCGTTACGCATAATTCAAACTATCTTATAAATTTTTACTGTTTTTAAATGTTATTATGGTCATTTTATATTTTTACATTTTTTGAGGTAGTTTTGCAGAAAAAAATGCTACGTTTCTAATTAAAACGATCGTAGCGTAAGCGGATTAAAAAGCGAAATAATTGGCAGAATAATAAAATACATCGAAATTTTAATTAAGACAATAATTCCATTTAATCCAATCAAAAGCGAGCGCAGCGGAAAATATTCCCCAAAACTTTTGCCATCAGAACTTTACGTTTTATGACGTGTAATATCTCAGAAAAATTATAATTAAAATCATACAGTTCATGTTTATGGTTTCCCAACGGGGTATACGAAAATATTACAGAAGCATTATTTATTGGAAACTTGAAAATCAATGGCCCTTTCTCAGAGAATCCCGGTTATGTGGGATCTAGTTAACGGTCTAAACTAAACGGTCGTGTGAACACACAAGTGTGTGTTTGAATATTGAATCCCAAATTCGGATCGGTTTTTAGCGGGAGACCGCAAACGGGATGTTCGTGTGAATGTTAATATTAAAACAGGGACCTATACCAACTACTAAGTGGGCTCCTGCAAAAAACAGTTCCTGCAAAAACGGGATATCTCCCTAGGAAATAGCCCTAACGAGTCGAGAACCTTTCTGGCACAGTACGACACTTTATTACAGTTATAGAGCTACATAACATAAATAAAAATGTTCTAATTAATTTTCTATGCTTTTTCGTTTCCTCAAATTAATATGTAAGCCCCGTAGGTGATATATTTGGCAGTACTCCTTAATTTCGGTTTAGGCTAAGCCTAATGAAAGCCGCCATGAAATACGGCGCAATATTCAGCAAGTTCAGGAACAATCTTAGGGAAATTTGATTTACAGCGAAGAAGATGTATCGTTGGCTTTAAGAAATAAACATCAGTTTTGCGTACTTACAATCCGTATGTTTCATACAAACCCATAATAATGGATTGTCTTAAATACAGTAGATAAACTTCAGTATTCTTACCCAAATTCAAGGTTTTAAAGACTCAAATCATATTACGGTCCGTAACGACATACATTTTTGTGTAAAGTTATTATTCATATACATCGTATATTTTTTGAAACATTACTAAGCCAACTGTGAACTACGTCATATTTCATAAAATACATACATACTTAGGTAATATGATTTCCAAAAACATGCTGTAGCTCTGTAAGTTAATTAATTGATTCTTGACTCTACATAAGTTTAGCTAGCAGAATAAAACTATTTCATAAGTGACAACAGTTTACATATTATTTAACAAACATCAAGTTATCTTGTTAATGTGTCTGTCTTCTTTCTTCAAATTCTTCTTTCTTCTTGCATCTTCTTTGTAGTGATAGCGTCAAGGAAGTCAACCTGACTCGATTAGGGAGTCGCGGTATAAACGGACTCCCTACTAGAGTCAATTTAACATCAATGAGCATATTTTCTTCTTTCTTGATGTCTTCTTCTTTTTCTTGAAATTGAAAATACGTGGCATTGCTAACATAAAAAAACTGGAAAGTAAATAATGAAATTTATGTACAGTGAAAATTATATTAGTATTCATTGATATACTCTGCTGCGTTTTATTAAATTATTGTATTAAACTCTACCTTTTTGTTGCAAAATTACATTTATTACATCTAAATACAGGTCATGATTCTAAAGTTAACTAAACAATGTTCTAGATGTGCTGTCTTTTGTAGGTAGGTACATTAATAATAATGGCTACAGAAAAGTAGTTTCTAAGCATTCATAGTGTCAAAAAGCAGATTTTTAAGATAATGTGTATAGAAATTGTAATGTTGGCTGTTGGACCTCTAGTTAGGGACCTCAACAAACCTTATAGAACTACTTAAAGTTAACACAGTATTAAGTTAGATATTTTCTGTACATCAGAAACACACGGTAGATATTTAACGCTAGATTCATAAATATTTAATGGCTAACTTCAACTTTTCAAGTTTCTGTTCCACGCGTACATAATAAATATGACATTTCACGTATCTACGAACTGTGCTAGATTAGATACATTAATACTTAGTGATCTGAAATAGGTATAATTTAATAGCTACATAAATAAGCATAGAGACAAGAGACAACAAGTTTTCCTAATTTTCATTTTTGTCGTGGAATAGCAAAAATTAAGGCTGGGTGGCACCATCTTACTTTAGCTTTAACAAACTTCAAGTCTGTCAAACTCCATACGAAAAAGTTATTGTTATAGTTCCGGTTAAAGTTAGGTGGCGCAACTCGGCCTAAATGTATCTTTTAGAACATTGGCACTTTGAAAAATATTATAACTGCAGCCAATCATAAGAAACTTGACTTGTTAAATTACTATTTATAATATTGTTTACTTTGCGTTGTACATAATACAAATAATCTATGTATCAATTAATTTTGCAGCAGAATTTACCGTCTCCCTCCCAGCTGATGAGTTGCTAACGTATTTAGCGGCCCCTGCCATCTTCCAACGGTCGGCGATCTCTTTGAGGCAATATAGCGTCTAGCTTTGACGCCATATTGACAGTGTAACGATATTCGATAACGTTATTTTGATGGTATTGGGGTATTGGTAGGACGTGGAATTCCTATTACCTGGCAACTTTGAAGTTTGGTAGAGGCTTAGAAGATATTGTAGAACTATGAACCTTCTATTTCCTTTATATTCATATTCAATCTTTCTTAATATTTGCATTCGTGCGATTTTCATTGAGTAGGTAACAGATTCACTGGATAACAGAAAAATTTTATACCTATGAAAATTCTATACTACGATTTCGTAGTATTGTAGTTTGTCTGGGCAGAAAATAGTCTGATGCC